TAACATTTACCGGATTCAAAGTATTAGGAGTGGGGAGATGTCCAAATGAAAATGACAGTTAACAAATTGAGGTTAAAATACTATTGTTTGTTTTTCCTTTTTTTTCCCCCAATTCGAACGATGTGTACTAAGTATCTACTACATGAAGAACACTTTCAGAAGCTGAGGGGGATACAAAGTTTGAATAAAACATAATCCCCTGTCCTCCTGAAACTTACACTTTAGTGGTAGGGATAAGACACTCAAACATAAATATAATATACAGTAATACAAAATTGATGCCTTCTTCCCACCTGTGGACAGATCCAGTTGCTGGGAAGTTTTTCTTTACATCAAGCTCGGATTTCCTTCATTGTAGGTTCAGCCTATTACTCTTACCTCTACCCTCTGGAGCCAAGCAGAACAAGGGTAATCCCTGCAAAATGTCACTTTTCCAAGTGTATTGTTTCCCCATCTAGTGGCCAAAAGTTAATTAGGTCCTCAAGCACATGTCTTTACCATAGCAGGTATTTACAGAGAAACTAAAACAGAGAGACGTGCGGATAGGAATGGAGATAATGCACAAAGCAACTTCCTAGTGAAACAATCATAGTACGGATGTTGAAGTTATTAAGAAATGATAAGAAAGCTAATGGTTGGTTGCTAGTTCTCTCCAGTGAAGCTCTGTCACTTTATTTCTGCTGTTCTGCTATGTTTTATTTCTACTATAAGTGCTCCTTTCGCTTTAAACATCCCAAGTCACATGACTTGGGGTAGGGGAAGATGGGGAAAGGAAGAAAGTATTTTTAATGCTCTTTTAAAACTGGATCTTTCAGAGATGACCCAAACTTTTAGCTTAGGAGCCATTCATTATATTCTCTAGCTGGTGGGCAGCTATAGCTTCACATATGTAGGACCCCTGAAGAGACTCTTCATCCTAGGTGCCCAAGGGATTCTCCATCCTGCCTTGATCTAGGCTCTTGATCTAGATAGAGACCTTAGGTAAGCAGAAAAAGACAAACTAAAGAGTGATGAATAATCCCCAGGCAAATTGCCCCATGGTAGCCTCTAAAAGAGCAAATTCCAAAATACTTTTAATAAATGTACCCACGCAGCCAGCCTGAGAGGTCAGATGCTAACGGAGAATTTATACCAGGGAAACCTGAAAAGACGCAGGTGAGGAGGTGGTGCTAACTATGATTGACAGCAATGGAGGTGAAGCTTTGCCTAGTAACAAGTGTGCATAGTCATGTGATTTGTCAATTTAGTGATTTATCAATTAGAGAATTAATTGTATAAGATATATTAATAGAGGCAACAAGGAAGGGAAGAAATAAACATTTATTAAGTGCCTACTGTGTGCCAGGCACTATGACTAAGCACTTTACAAATATTATCTCATTTGATCCTCACAACAACCCTGGGAGATAGGTGCTGCAATGATCCCCATAGTTGAGGAAACTGAGGAAGAGAGAGGTTAAGTGACTTGCCCGGCTCACACAGCTGGTAAATGTCTGAGGATAGATTTGAACTCAGGTTTTCCTAATTCTAGGCCCAGCACTCTCTCTCCCCTGTGACACCTAGCTGCCTCTAGAGAGAACAGAGAACTTTATTGATTGTTTATTCAGATCCTCTGAATATCAATATCAAGTGAGCCATAAAGCAGGAATGTAAGTGCTTGACAAAAGCATTCGCTGCCATTTCAAAGTCATCCTGTACCAAGTCCAAAAGGAAGAAGGATTCTCCAAAAATGATGAGATCCTTCTGATGCTTCTGTTTGCAGAAAACACTACAAGATTGTTAACACTTTGTCTCACCAAACCCCAGAATATGTAGGAGCCTCTTCAATGAGATCCTTGACTATTCAAGAGTTTGAGTTAACAATCCAAATCACACTGTAGGGATTTAATGATGAGCAGCCCATTGCAGAAGTCCATGCATCTTTGGCAAAGAAAAAAAAAAGAGTTCTCCTTTTTAGGGCTGTTCCTCATGGCTGGAATGATTTTTCATCAATAGATAGATGGGTGTGGCTTGCCCTCAATTTTTTTTGGTGTTTTTAATTTTCATTATTTTGATATCTGTTGAAGATATAGACAGGAATTACAAGGGATTAGTCAATCAAGGAGTACCTATTTAGCACTTACTAAATGCTAGGCATCGTGCTGGATTCTAGAAATACAATCGTTGAGGTTCAGAGGTAGGAGAGCTGGTTCAGGTGTGAAAGAATTCACTTGGACCTTCTCTCTGACCATTGGGAGCTTTATTGACCACAAAAGCAGCAGGCTGGCCCTACAAGGAGGATTAGCAACTTATAGAGGGACAGAGGCCTGTTTTATTTTACGAGATGAAAAGGAATTGTCGTGACACAGGATGAGGGAGATGGATGACAGGATAAGGGACCCAGGATAAAGAAGACAGGGGAAATTTTATGACTCAGGAGGAGGGAGACATGGAATTTTTATGGTCCAGGATAGGGGGGAGTTTTCTTGATATCCCTAGATAAGGGGAAGAGACTCCAGGATACTCTCAAGCTCAGGCGGGCCTCACAAGGTACTGAAAAAAAAAAACAATTCTTAATTTTTTTTTAGCTTTTAGGGCACTGTTTGTATACGTATCATTTCCCCATTCAACCACAGGAGAAATCTTTCGGGAAAAGGGGTGAAGGTCATTGTCTTCAGTAGGTGCTTCCTGCTGAACAGAAGAGAAAAGTCCATTTCAAGGGCCAAGAATAGTTTGAGGAAAGGTGGTCAGCATGGGAGTGCAGAATGTGGTACCCGCTGAATCCAGGTTAGAGAGAGGAAAACCACTCAGGGACACCAAGAGTAGGGGTTGATATCCTAAGAGTTGAAAGTGGAATTTCTGCAAGCCAGAAGACACAAGGTGAACCAGGAAGTTAAACAAGCATAGACCAAATATAAGCGTGAGTAAAATAATTATTAACAGGGTCAGAATGGGAGAAAGAAAGGAGAGGAGTCATGACTCCCAGGAGGAGGTAGGGAGAGATATTAGGCTAGAGTGTATGTCTTGCATCCAAGAGGCTGCCTGTAGCAAATATCCCTTGAGTGTGGAGTTCTACCTTAGAGGAATTATTAATGTACACACAACAAGAAGTGTTGGCCAAAGCACAGATACCTGAGGAGGCAAGAAGATAGTCAAGAGCAATACAGTTGTCTAGAACCATATCGGCTCAGCTTTCTTGTTTTCAGAAGTTCAACAAGTGAAGAAAATTATGATGATGTTGATATGCAATCCAATGGTAAGATATGCTATATTATCCTTGGGTTATACTTAATCCCTGACAAATCAGAAAATGTTATTGATCCCATGTTATTTTTGATTCATAAAAGCAAGTTTATAAGGAGATAGACACACCGTATATAGAGAAAAAATGTTTTGCATAAAGATGGGTATTGATGTGTATATCTAAGAGGAATGCTCAAAGGATAAATTCCATGCAGGGTTTTCAGGGAATGGGGAAGAGATATTGGGAGTAAGCTAGCTGACACACAGAGCAATCTTGTACTGAGCCCTGCCCCACAGAGTTCTCTATTTGAATTAAAGCATTTGACTCCCTCCTAATCCTGGGAAAGCAGGCCTAACCCTAGGCACAGGGTGAGAATCAGGAAAAGGTAATAGGAGAAGTGGTTCAAGGGAGAGCCCAGAACATAGCACAGTTAGAAAGCACACAGATAGGTCCACAGTGAGGGGCTTCAATGCATAGTTTTCTTTGATCACTTTTCTGGCTGGTCATACCCTGCACAATGGCAAAAATTAATCTATTCCTACCCTCAAGAAGCTTACATTCAATTGGGAAAGACAATTTGTACATATAGTATTATATATAAAATAAATACAAGGAGGTGAGATGGTGAAGGTACTAAGAGGAGGAGGGAAAAGGGAAGTACTCATATAGGAGGTGGCATTTGAGCCAACATCTAAAGAAAAACAGAGATTCTAAGGGCAGGGGCAAGGAGGGACTGCATTCCAGGCCTACAGGACAGCCTGAGCAAAGGCATGAAGGTGGGAGATTGGAGTAATATATCATAAGCCTGGAAAGGCAGTTTGGAGCCAAGCAGTGAAGGTCTTTAATTATATAATTATTTATTTATCTATTTCTGATGAGGCAATTGGAGTTAAGTGACTTGCCCAGAGTCACACAGCTAGTGAGTGTTAAGTGAAGGGCTTTAAGTGCCAAATAGGGGAGCTTGTATTTAATTCAGGAGATAATGGGGAGCCACTGTAGCTTCTTGAACAGAGGCATGATATGATCAGAGTTTAGGAATAAGGATGGATTAAAAAGAGTAGAGACTGGATGCAAGAAAAACAATTAGGAGGTATTTCAATATTCTCAGTGAAAAATGCTAAGGGCCTGAGGTGGGGTGATAGTGATATGAGTGAACCAAATGGGAAAAATGTGAGAGATGTTACAGAAGTTAGAATTTACAAGATCTGGCAAATGATTAGATATGATGATTGAGGGAGAAGGAAGAATCAAAGATAATTCTGAGGTTGTTGACCAAGATGACTTATTAGGATGGTGGTGTCTTCAATAAAAAGAGAGAGAGAGAGAGAGAGAGAGAGAGAGAGAGAGAGAGAGAGAGAGAGAGAGAGAGAGAGGAAGGAAGGAAGGAAGGAAGGAAGGAAGGAAGGAAGGAAGGAAGGAAGGAAGGAAGGAAGGAAGGAAGGAAGGAAGGAAGGGAGGAAGGAAGAAGTTGGGGAAAAGGATGAGCTTAAAGGGGAAGATGGCAAGTTCTTTTTTGGACATGTTGCATTTGAAATGGCCCACAGAATATCCAATTCAAAATGTCCAATAGGCAGAATAAGAAGATTTGGATCTGTATTGGTGAAAATAGTATAGATACCAATGAAACCATGAATCCACTGAAATAATGAAGTCACTATTAAATGTATTATACAAATAGGTGAGTTTTACTCTAAGTCCTAGAGTTGGGAAACCAGGGCTACAGTGTATTGTGAGAACCTGTTCTATTTTCATTTTTTTCCCTCTTTTTTGTTTTCAGAAGTTCAACAAGTGAAGAAAATTATGATGATGTTGATATGCAATCCAATGGTAAGATATGCTATATTATCCTTGGGTTATGCTTAATCCCTGACAAATCAGAAAATGTTATTGATCCCATGTTATTTTTGATTCATAAAAGCAAGTTTGTAAGGAGATAGACACACCGTATATAGAGAAAAAATGTTTTACATAAAGATGGGTATTGATGTGTATATATATATATATACATATATATATATATATATATATATATATATATATATATATATATATATATATGGATATATCTGTATTACACATGTGGTATTCACATAGCACTTTTAAGATTGATAAGCTACTGGACATATATTATCATTTTCATTAAAGCAAATATGTTCTGATTTGCTTCTAACACCCGTACTCCATGTAAGCTCACAGAATATTGAATTTACCTTTCTTTCAAAAGAGACATGATGGGATCTTTTGACTTATTAGATTATTTCACAGAGGTCCCTATAAATGACTTTATGTCAACTCAAATGTTCATTAAACCATTTTTTAAAACTTCTGTAGCACTTATCTTATAATGTATTTCTATTTCTTCATTAAAATATTTCCAGATAAAATACATTATTTCTTTATTTAAAAAAAAAATCTTGAGTAATACTGAAATTGCATCTAATGGAGGGGAAAGTGACAATTTTCATAAAACCATAAATTAAAACTTTATTCATTTTTGTTTGTTTCTAGATTATGGAAATCCAGATGAGGTGGGGTAATCTGTTCATTTTTCTTTAAAAATAAACAATTCACTTATTTACTTTGTATGCTTTTACTTTTTCCTGATTAAATGAAACCATAATTTTAAAAATATTTGACAATTAGAATTTTAAAATGAATTGGATATCTTCTCAAGTTGCTGTGATCCAAATATGTAAGACCAACAAGTAGATAAGTGACCAAGTGTTTTCTGTTTTTATTTCTATTTCAAAGAATCTCCCAGAATTAAGACCCACCCATCCCCACCCTTGCATTATATTCTTTTAGGTTGTCATAATAGCTGTATAATTGGTTATGAGTCTAGCTACATGCTGGAGAGATTAGAAGGGGGAGAGACAAGATTCTTTCATTGTTTTCTATTTCCATTCTAGCTCATGAGAAAGTATTTTAAGCAAAGCTTAAACTTTCATTCTTACATTCTGTGTGTGAGTCACAATGTTTTTTAACCATTTAGTCTTCCTTCTCTTGAAATAAGTAAAAATTTACCATTAGCCATTTTTCTCTTGTAGGATCAAGACAGCAATGGAGAAACATACGAAGACATGTGAGTACTATTTTTTTTTATAAATGATTCTTAAAATTAAAAAAAAAAAAGATAAATGCAATATGTGTGCTAAGAAACATGGGGTAGCTATGCTAAAAACCGAAAAACATTGTGTTCAAATGAAGGACTGAAGAGCCATGAAGGTCAGAGCAATCACATCAGAGGTGGGCAGTATCCCTCCACTACCTAGGAGAGCAGTGCTTCTCTAAGGATGGTAGATAAAAAAGTCTAATAAGCTCAATGAAAGGAAGTGTGGACTAATAGATAAATCACAGACCCAGGAAGCAAAAAAAAAAAGCCAGTATTTTTTATTGTTTACTATCTAAATGTAATTGAGGAAATCTCTCAATCTATTTGTGTCCCATTGTTCTAGTTCTGGTTTTTCTTAGAGTGATGCTGTAAGAAATAACTTAAAGGTTTGGTGTCAAATAAAAGTACATCCCTGGAGGCCATATGTTGATTTAGAAAACCACAAATTAACGTTATCTGTTGTATTTTTATTTATTCTGTTAAATATTTCTCAATTACATTTTAATCTGCTTCTGGCTCACTCTGGAGTTGTGCTGATCACATGAGGCCTGCAGGCTCTGAGTTTTACCTTTATGCTGTAAAGCATCAAGGCACCAGCTTCTTATGCATTGGAAAGTAAATTATATTGGTTCCCAAATGAAATTGTAGGTAGCCCATGAAAACAAAAAATGTTTCTTGGAAAGTAACTGAATGATGTCCAATGTGGTATTTCCTGTTATCTTGAATGTAGGTACCTTATAGATTTAGTGCATCAAAGACTGACACAAAATTTCTAGATTCACTAGGAAGTATGGTCCCCATATTTTTCAGTCATCTACCTGTTAATGAGAAAAGGAAGAAGGGACAGTACCTGAAGTAATCTCCATCCATTGACCAAGTAGCTCTACCATATGGTAGAAAGAGTACTGGTTCTAAGTCAGAGAACCTGGGTTCTAATCCTTTCCCAGACACTTCCTACCTGTGTGATTTGGGGCAAGTTACTTAACTTCACTGGGGCTTTGTTTCCTCATCAGTAAAAATGATGGGATTGGATGAGCTGGCCCTGAAGTCCCTTCCTGCTGGAGCCTACAGTCTATGTACCTCTCCACTTCCAGGAGCCCTCCACTATCCACACCTCCAGACTGACAGGGCCTATGAAGTGTGTGGCTAGTTGACTCCGACTTGGCTTCATTTTCAGTATCCATGATCTGAATAACCTCTTCAGCTGTGTGTAGAAAAGCAGAAAAGTTTTAGAGGTAGTGACAGCTAGGCCATCAGTTCCAATGTAAGCAAGGTAAAAATATCTGTTTGCAGAGAAACAACAAAAGAACGAGAGAAGAAGAGGGATAAAGAAGAGAAGAAAAGATTGGAGCAGGAGAAGAAAGAACAGAAGGAGAAGGAAAAAAAGGAGCAAGAGATCAAGAAAAAGTTCAAAGTAAGCTCATTATTTGGTGCTCAGTAAAAAAAAAGATTAACTTTATAAAGCTTTCTCCTAAAGTGCTTTAGGAGTGCCAGAACTAAAATGGATTGAAAATCATATTCTGAAAAAAGTTGTCTCAATAATACTTCTTGGTGATGTTTCCCTTCCTAATATAGCCATGCTTGGGTTTAAGGAAACTTGATAAAACAAAAGTATAGATGGGTCATGAGCTATATTACTGGATGAAACTTCTAAATTGATGAGGTCACAAATCCATCTAAGGATGTGAAAAGTAAACTTTAGCATGGTAACTTCTCCATTTAAAAAAAAAAGCTCTCAATGAGTGTTTTCTGACTAAGTGGAAAAAAAAGTCAGAATTTCCCATTGTGCTGTGTTTAGCAAAAGCCCATATTCAGGAACTCAAGCTCACCCACATCCTAAGCCCAGTGTTTGCCCTGAGAAGAAATAACTAAGAGAATCTTAACTGAGCCATACCTCAAAATTATTTTCAAGAGCCCTAGAGTTGGACTATTGAACTTGGGGGTCATGGGAGTTGAGTTCAAGTCCCAAATCTGTGATTTTCTACCTTTGTAATCTTCAGCAAATCATTGCATCTCCATAGGCCTCAACTTCCTCATCTATAAAATGAGAGAGATGGAGAATTGATCTCCAGGGTTCCTTCCAGTCCAAGAACTGTGATCTCAGGAATAATGGCACCATGACATGATTTACTCAGATCCCTGAACTTGGCACTCTTGCTGTGCTACGGCTTCTAATATTTGCCCCACCCCATCTCCTTTAATCTATGGTTTGTCCTTCTATATTCCTGACCTGAGGCTTTTTCTGACCTCTGTCCTCCATGCTTCGCTCTTTTTTTGTTTTGTTTTGGTTTTTTGTTTTTGTTAGGCAATGGGGTTAAGTGACTTGCCCAGGGTCACACAGCTAGCAAGTGTTATGTGTCTAAGGTCAGATTTGAACTCAGGTCCTCCTGAATCCAGGGCCAGTGCTCTATCCACTGCACCACCTAGCTGCCCCTTATGCTTCGCTCTTTTAACCTTCATCTCACCTTCCTATGTTCCTGACCTGCTCTGATCTCTAATAACTGAAATCCTATATCATTCCCACAATATTGGTGTGATCAGATGTGATTATTTTAATTGAAAACTGGATCTTCATTTTACCACAAGATTCACAATAGGTACTGAACTATTAGGAAATTCTTCAGATAGACCTGTTTTCAGAATGTTACCCTAATGCTGGCAAGATGGCATCAAACTATTCAAGATACCAGTAGATGTCTATTTCAAGCTTAAATGAGGGGCATCTACCTACCTTTTCCAAATACTTGCCAACTATAACAAGAGAACTCCTCCTTTCTGCATAGCCTCACCTTCCTCTGACATTTTCAGTCCTACAGTGAGGCAGTAGAATAATGGGCTGATTACTCAGTGAAGCATAAGCTTCCTTCAGAAATCAGGTAGGGCAAATCCCCCTGAAGCCTCCAGTACTTTACATATGGGGTATCCCAAAAGCCTTAGTGCAGTTTTTAGTTATTAAAACTTAAAACTTCACTAAAAATCTTAGGATACTGTGTAGTATAGATTTAGAGGTTTAAATACACATTGTTTTGTGTATTGATTGATGTTGGGTACTAGGCAGAATCCTTGGAGCCAATTGGTTCTTTTCAGCCACTAAGAAATATGTCCTTCGTCTTTGGGCCAATTATATCCTGACCCAGGCCCTGGTATCTTTTGTTCCTTAATCACTGCTGTATCTTGGGGAGGGAAGTAAGGAGGAGGGGGAGAAAAGTTTAAAACTCAAAAGATTATGGAAGTGATTATTGATAAATCAAAATAAATTAATAAAAAAAATGAAAAAAAAATCATTGCTGTACGCTAAATGTCCCCTAGACAGGACTTCTGGCTTTCATCCTGGTTCGAGATGATCAGAAATGGTGGACAGGATAATAAGGTGTTTGATGACTAGTCCTCCTCTGTGTATGAATTTTAATTCCTTAAAGCCCTAAAACCTAGAAGAACATGGACAACATTCTATTTCTTGCACCTTGAAGCTCACAGGTCCTATTCAAGTACTTCATCAAGCTAAGGCTTGCTGTGATGTCAAAGGAGGGAAGAATGAGCTGAGCGTCAAACAAGGAGAAGAAATCGAAATAATCCGCATCACAGACAACCCTGAAGGAAAATGGTTAGGCAGAACCTCCAGAGGCACATGTGAGTCCAAAGTTCCTCTTTTTCTTCCAAATATTTTCCTTACGTTGTTATTCTCTTTGTTCTGCTTTTTTCTCCCACTACACCATTTCATCTAAGCTGTGTTTGTTTGCATTTTGCATATCAGTCATTCCTTAGCACTCCAATTCTGCATCCAATTCTAGTCACACGCCACAAGTTATTGAATCATTCCTCAATCTTTAGGCACATGGTTTGTTTCAAAATTTTTCAAAGTGTTAAAAATAATGCTGCTTTAAATATTTGTGGATAAACAGGTCCTCTCTTTTTTAGGATGAGTGAAGTGTGGAAACTGAACTTGTGATTTCATCCATTTAGAAAACACCCAATGAAGGACTTCTACAACCATTTCAGATCCTTCTTTGCAACTTATAGTCTTAGAAAGTTGCCCAAGGAACTGAGAGGCTAAGGGATAACCAGAGTCACACAGCCAGTATATAGAAGTGGGATTTGAACCCAGGTTTTCCTGATTTTGAGGCCAGTCCCCTGTGCACTGTGCCATGCTTCTTCTCTCATCCTATCCACTTGGCACTAATCTCCTTAGGATCTAAACAAGGGGTGGGGAACCTGCAGCCTCGAGGCCACATGTGGCCCTCTAGGTCTTCAAGTGTGGCCCTTTGACTGAATCCAAACTTCATAGAACACAGAACAGTTCACAAACCTGAAGTTTGGAAGCATGGTACAATGAAAAGAACATTGATTCTGGAGTCAGAAGACCCACTTCTGGTATTTAATACCTGTGCAATCTTAAGCAAATCACTTATCCTCCCTCAATCTGGTCTCTTGCATGTAAAATAAAAGGGATTGGACTAGTAGCTCCTATGATCACAATATTTTTACAACCTCCATTAAATCCATATTAACTTTCTTCTTATGAGGAAAAAAATTCAATGCTAAATGAAAATGTAGCTCTTTTAGCACTTTGTAGGAAAGGTTACTTACATCCTGACATTAACTAAATTTCAGCAGGACAGAGCTTTGAATTGTTTTAAAGAGAGCATCACAAAGGATCTATCTAAAAGTGAATCACAAAGCAGAGGAGTTGGTGTGATAAGAAAGATTTGGTACAGTAAGCATATCACTTCCTAGATTGTGGCTTCTTAAACATAAGTTTTTCCCCCAAAATCTGTAGATGGCTATATTAAAACAACAGCAGTGGAGATTGATTATGATTCTTTGAAAAGAAAGAAAAATTCAATGAGCACTCTTCCATCAAGACCTGTGGAAGATGATCAAGAATTGTACGATGACGTTGCTGAACATGGCAGCATTAGCAGGTGGGTCTATAAGTAAATGATGACACTACTAAGTTACTTCTGCCTGTCTGTCCTATAAATTCTGAGTTCTGGGGAAAATGTTGGCTTCTGTGCCTCCTGCTTCTCATTAAGCTGTCCTCCAACTAAATTAAAAATAACAAGAACTTGAAAAAGGTGATGAGCTCATTATAATGAATTCCACATTTATTTGTCATACTGTCATCTACTCATGTTGACTTTTATTTGAAAGAAGAAAACCTCTGGCCAAATTAGTAAGTTAGATGTACCAAGGTTGATCTTTTAATTATATTTGTCATGATGGGATTTGGCCTAGATGCTATGGCAGCTTTGTAAGTGGAATGCAGGCACAGCTGTTTAGAAAGAGCATTTCCCTTGGAATCAGACGACTCATGTTGGAATCCTCTCTCAGTACTTTGGGTTCAAAATCTGTCTCTTTTCGTGTCTTTGGGCAAATCATGTTACAGGCCTTGGTTTCCTCCTCTGTGAAAGGATTGAACTAGATGGCCTCTGAGGTCAATTTCCACCCAAAATTCATTATCCATGAAAACTTATTTGTATAACCACAGGTGAATCAATTAACGTCTCTGAGCTTCAGTTTTCCCATCTATAAAAAAAAAAAAATTTCACAATATTTGCCCTGTTTACCTCAAAGAGTTGCGTGAAAAGCATTTTGTAAGTTTTAAAGCACTACCTAAGTATGAATAATTATCATTGTTATCACATCAATCAGCAAACAATTATTAAGTGTACTATGAGCTGGTCATTGTGCAGGGTATACAAAGACATAAATGACACAGTCCCTGACCTCAAAGAGTTTACATTCTGTTGGAGGAGATAGTATGTATGCATATGAGTGTATGCAAATCACATACAAAAAAATATACAAGATAATTGGGGGAGAGGAGTACTAGCAGCTAGGGAAATTAGGAGAGACTTCCTATAGAAAATGTTACTTGGCTGAGCCTTGAAGGAATACAGGGATCCATAAGGGAGCAGTGAGGGGGGGAAATGCATTCCTGACATAGGGAACAACCTGGGTAAAGGCCCAGAGGTGGGAAATAAAATGTCATACATAAGGAATGGCAAAAAGGCTGATTTGACTCACCCAAAGAGCACAAGAACGGAAATGAATAATGTATCATATTCCTGAAAAGATAGCTTGGAGCCAGGTAGTGAAGAATTGTATATGCCAACCAGAAGAACTTGGTATTTGATCCTGCAGAGAATAGGGAGGCAGTGGAGTCAGTTCTGCAGGAGGATAACATAGTAAGATCTGTGCTTTAGGAATGTTACTGCAGCAGCCTTGTCAGACAGACTACTCATCCTCTTGGCATAAACCAAATCTTTCTTTCTTTTTTTTTTCCCCTGACTTACATTCCTTGCTCCATTATTGCATTACTAATAAGTGTACCATGGCAGACATGTACACTGGTTCCTAGTACTTTTGACTTCCATTCGCCCAACCTACCAAGGGCAGGAGTGGGGAGAGAAACACGGAAGGCAGGATAAGACACAAGTGATTTCAGCCTCAGGAAGGCAACCTGAAACACCTGGGAAACCGATTCACTTGTACTGCCCTGCCCCAGCCCTGGCTTCTAGGTGGAGAGTGAGGTTAGGAAAAGAGAGGTCATCACAAACTTTCTCTGGTGGCAGCCACTCAGCAATTAGGAGGCATCACTAAGGACAGGCTGGGATTCCTCACTGAATTCAGGTGAGAGGCTCTAAGAATTTAAGTCCCAAGACTTTTTCGAGTATAGGTCACAGTGGGTGCAGCAGCCGGAGATGAGGAAATGGTTTAGAGAGGGGAATGATTGGCTGCAGGGAGACTAATAATAATAATAATAATAATAATAATAATCTAATTACTTTACAAATATTATCTCAATTGATTCTCACAGCAACCCTGGGAAGTAGGTGTTTCCTATTTTACAGGTAAGGAAACTGAGGCAGAGGTTAAGTCAGACAACTAGTAAGTGTCTGAGGTCACATTTGAACTCAGATCTTTCTAACTCAAGGCCCAGCACTTTATCCACTGTGCCACCTAGCTGCCTCATACAACAGTACAGATGAGAGGGGTTGAATTAGGGTGGTGATCACATAAGAGGAGAGAAGGAGACCTAGACAATGTGACAATGTTCACAAAATGTGACAATTTTCACAAAAATCTTGTGAAAAAAGATCTTGTGAAAGGAGAATCATCAAGACTTGGCAGCTGATGAGATCTGTAAGGCAAGACAGCATTGAGGAGTATGGAATGACTTGAAACTTGCAAACCTGAATAATGGGAAGGATGGTAGTAACTCAAAAGTACAGGACAGAGCAAAAAAAAAAAAGCTCTGCATTGCAGGATCACTTTGGCCTTTTGATACCAAAGTTCAACTTTGTCATCCCTCCAGAATTTTAAAGGGAAACTCACAAGATTGGCATTTTTCTGCCTCTTGGGTCACTCAGACCTGCATGTTTTAAACAGTCCATTCTAAATGTCAGCTCTTTCTTGTATGCTTTGCTTCACTGATACCCTGAGGTGAATTTCTGCTATTTAACCAATGATGCAACTGACCAGATTAGTAGTGTCCTGCCTTTTGTGGGTCTGGCCTCTGCCTCTCCTGCTGCTGGAGGGAGAAGTTATGACAGTTGTCTGACGTGCTCTCATATCTACCATTTGAAGTACTTCTCTATCCTAAGAGGAGGAGCTTTGTCCAAACACTTTGTGCTTCAGAACTTCCCCATTTTTTCACATATTTTGGCAATGCCATGAAGCTCTTGACTATGAAGCATCAGTAAGCAATTTAAAAAAAAAAACCATAGCAACTAAGGGAACCTGGCAGAAACAAGGTCCTGGGATACATCAGTTAACAGTCTCTAGAAACAAGTCTTCTGTAGGATTATGATGCCCATTTTTAAAAGTCTACTTCGTGATTTGTGGACATGGCGAAGTGGAGGGGGGGGGCGGTGTAAAGTGGAAGCTCTAGCATCAGCTGAAGAGCTGTCCACTAAGTAGGTGCTGACAGACCTTCCATCCCCACCCTCCACCCCACAACAAAGCTGGAAGCTTTGGAGGAGCACAAGCAAATTTAATTGCAGGGGAAGAAAGGAGGTCCCTGGTCATTTCACTTGATATCACTTTTCTCTTCCTTCTTCCCTTCCCTCTCATCCAACATCCTCCTCCCCAGCTTTTCTTTCTCTTGGACCTAACAATTTGCAGTATGACCCCAGGAAAGTTATTCAACTTCAATGAGCTTCAGTTTTTTCATCTGAAAAAATGGGAGTAATGATAATTGCATTACTTTGGGGGAGTTGTGAGGAAAGTACTTTGTAAACAATAAAGCATTACATAATAATAATATATTTTATATAGCTCTTTGCAATTTACAAAGCATGTTCCCTGTAATAGTCTATAAAGTAGGTAGTACAAATTATGTTATTGTGGGAGGTTTTTGTTTGTTTTTTGAAGGATGAGGTACAGAAGGGTTTGGTCTAGGTCTGCGATTTCATTGGTGTAGAAATTCTATCCATTACCAATGAGAATCAGTGATTCATCTGTGACTTAGAGTCTTAGAGAGCTGCCCAGAAGTCACCGAGAGAAGCTAAGGGATTTCTCCAAGATCATACTGCTAGTAGGTGTCAGAGGCAAGACTTGAACTCAGTGCTTTCTGACTCCTGTCCCACCATCATTTCTACTACACCATGAATTTTTCTTGCTCCTTTCCTTATCTTCCCTATTCTTCTTCCCCTTTCCTTTCTTCCTCTCTTTCACCCTGCCCCCCTTTTCTTCATAATAATAATGATAACAACTAGCATTTGTATAGCACTCTGTGGTACATTTTATTTCCACAAGAAAAAGGAACCCCTTCAATTCAATTCAAGAAGCATTATTTTCTCCTTGACCTGAGAACTCTGGAATTTGGCTACAATATTCCTAGGATATTCCTGGGAATTCCTATGACAATTCCTAATTATGACAGCTATCTGAAATGCTCTCACATCTACCATTTAAAGTACTATTCAACATATTCAACAATATTCAGCAAGCATTTACTAAGTGTCCATTACATTCAAGGGGCGGCTGGGTGGTGCCATAGTGCACAGAGCACTGGGCCTGGAGTCAGGAAGACTCGTCTTCCTGAGTTCAAATTTGACCTCCTAGCTGTGTGACCCTTGGCAAGTCACTTAACCCTGTTTGCCTCAGGTTCCCCATCTGGAATAGGAAATGGCAAACCACTCCAATATCTTTGTCAAGAAAACCCCAAACAGGGTCACAGTCAAACATGACAACATTATATTACAGGCACTGCCTGCACTATGTGTTGGCAGTACAAAAACAAAAATGAAAAAGCCTTCCTGCCCTCAAGGAATTCACTGTCTACTAACGATACAGCATATACACAGAATATCAAATAGAAAATAAGTAATTTCTACAGGGAGAGTATTAACAACTGAGAGTTTGGAAAAGACCTTTTCATTTCCTCTCTGTAATTTTTATTATTATCTAAGTTATTTAAAAGTATAAAATTATTAACAGAACCAAAACTAGGAATTCTGATGTTTACGGCAAATTTATGTCACAGAAAAGGTCACTCTGCACTTGTTGGCAGAGTAAGGCATAGAAGGGGGATAGCCCTTTGCTCAGTGAGTCTAGCCTGAGCTTCTACAGCAAGGTCAACAATTCTGACACACAATCCCCTGAGTAGAGATGGTGAAAGTAGAGAAAGAGCCAGGTTGAGATTATAGGAGAGGAATGCCACATTAACAGTACTCTCAGAGATGGCATCTAAAGCCTGGGTGAGGGATTGGAGGTGGTAAAAGACTTTGAGACATGAAAGCCATGGGCTAGCTAGAGGACCAAAAAGCATGTCCCATTCAATTGACAACACTTTATGCTCTAAGAAAAAAACCCTGGTCACTGCACCCTGGCTACAGGTCTAATGCAAACCTGTAAAAAGCTCAGAACCTTTAACTTAATATGGTAAAACTTAAAAATCTCACAAGATGGATATCAACATTTAATTCAGTCTGTGTAGACGATCTAGGAGCTTTGTGATTCTTAGCATCCCCTTCTTACCACATTCCCTTCTTTATTATGGAATCTAAAGTAGATGAAGGGACTATTTTGTATTTTTCAGTTTCATGGGTTACTATAGTGAAAAACAAAACAAAACAGAATTATCATGTGGTCCCCAGTCCCCTAGGAACATATTTCACTCCTCAAACTCTTTTATCTTGCATTATACTTGTCAAACCATTCTCTGGCAGTTTTATCTTCTCTAGTGAATTGTCTCCTGACATATACCTTTTCTTTAGCTTATGTCGATGAATCATCCAGTATGTATCAGAACATTTGACATGTACCCCAAGTTTTTCAGAACTGCAGTGGCCTTAGTAATAAGAAACACACTGACCCAATATCATGGTGTTTGGCAGTTCAGTATCTCTAATAATTTCAGTTCTTTCAGAAAAGATATGAACTGCCATATACCATATTTCAAAAAATGAATGTTTCATAGCCAAGTACATGATTCAGTTCATGAATAAATGGCAAATCCATTAGAAAAGGAAATTGCACTAAAGTTGAAGACATTATCTAAATTTAAGTCATGCACCTTTTAAACCTTGAGGAATTTCTGAAACTCCAAATATGATGCATATACAAAGCACAATGGGAAAAGAGAGATGAACGCATATGAAGCTTTGAATCTGTACCATGTACGGTTTGCTTCTCCATCAAAATACATGTAATACGTATACTACCATGTAACAAACATGTTATAGGGTTGCTATTGAGATGGAGTGTGGGGCAGGGAGGAGGGGAGCTTTTCAGAGACATGTAGCCAATAATAAGGAGAAGAGATAGAGGAACCTATTCAATGAGTCCCCTCCTTGCTTCTTTAGCTGCTCATCAATAACGGTAATCTAGGGGAAATTTGTGGCTTCATAAATCTCTGTGTGTTTATAGTGCTCCTCTCTCTCCTCCCCTCCCTTACCCTCCCCTCCCTCCCTCCTCTCTACACTCTCTCTCTCTCTTCCTCTTCCCCTTTCCTCTCCTTCCCTTCTCCATTCTTCCCTTCACCGCTCCCTCCTTTTATTTCTCCTGCTTAGCACTTCGGGCTGGCTTAGGAAACTTGCAGGCAAAAACTCCCGGGTTTGCGAGTTCCAGGTAGAGGACGTGTGCTGCCTTCCCTCTCACGCCCCCTGCTGGGGAAAGTAGAAGAGCCACATCGACCACTCATATCCCGACTCCTCTTTCCCAATTCTTTTACCCAAATAATGTCAACCCAAACCAAGATTAACACTGAGTTTTAAGGGTTTGTTTTGTCTTTATCTTTTAAAAAATCCAACTATGGGGTAAATCATGGCACGAAAAAGGACACAGAGGCGGAAAGGGAAGCATGAAGCCAGAGCACAGTCTATTAGAAAAAAAAAATAACAGGAAAAGGGCAGCTAGGTGGCACAATGGATAGAGCACCCGCCCTGAAGTCAGGAGGACCTGAGTTCAAATGTGACCTCAGACCAAACACTTGCCACTTATTGTATGACCCTGGGCAAGTCATTTAACCCCTTTTATATATATACACATATATATACATACATATGTATACACACACACACACACACACACACACACACATATAAAACAAGGAAGCACGAAGGTTGACTTCAAGAGCAGGAAATGGTGCAAAGCACCTCATGGTCCTCACCCCTCCCTTCTCACCAGCATCAGTCATTCAGATTGCTATCAGTAATCTTAGTCTCTTTGAGTGAAAGACCTAGAATACAGAAAGCTTGGGTACCATTATCTCTGCACATGTTGGCAAGAAGGACATATGTCTAACACTTTGACCTTGCTTCCCCCTCCTTCCCTAGTCTCTCCCCTAGAATTCTCCAGGAACAGAACTCTTGAACAGAAACACAAACTCTCCAAAAGCCTTCACCCATAGCCCTCCCAGACTTTCTTGCTCCAAAACATCCATTTCTAGTGGATTTTGGGGTGGTTGTAGTTCACAAGGAAAGGTTATACATACAACAAACATATTATTTTCCAAACTGTCCTATTTGTTTCCCATTGACCTTACTTCTGTCTTCTTTTATACACTTAAGAAATGCTTTAGTGACATTCTTTTCTTACTTTTTTCCCATTTGACAACTTTGATGCTGTCTCCCTTTTCTCTTCCCCACCCCCGCCCCAACCATCTGTCACTGAAAGAAAGAAAAACAAAATCTTTGTATCAAGTATGTAAAGTCGAGCAAAAGAACTCCCTACATTGGCCATGTTCAAAAATATGCCTCATTCTATACCTTGAGTTCATGGCCTCCCTGTCCAGAGATAAGTAGTCCATTTCATCACCTGGGCTCATAACTGGCTAATTCATTACTTAAGTCTTTTAAGTTGTTTTTCTTTATAATGTTTTTTACTATAAAAACTGTTCTCCAGGTTCTGTTCGATTTATACTGCATTAGTTGATGTGTCTTCCTGGTTCTGGTTTTTTTTTCTCATCTCTTTTGTAATTTATTACAGCATAATGAGTCTCCATCATATTCATATAACATGATTTGTTCAGCCATTCCCCAGTTGATGGGTATCCACAACCCCTTGGTTATAAGTTCATTGAGATGATGAGAAAAGCTGCTATAAATATTTTTATACATACAAAACCTTTTTTAAAAAAATTTTTTAGAATATAGGCCTAGTGATATCACTGAGTCAAAGGGTATACATAGTTTATTGACTTATGAAGTATAGTTATAAATGCTTTCCAGAATGGCCATAGCAATTCCCAGCTCCACAATAATATTAGTATGCCCATTTTCTCGAAGCCCCTCCAACAACTGTCATTTTTCTTTTTATTTTCATTTTTTCCCCAGTCTTATGGTTGTGAGGTAGAAGCTCATAGTTGTTTTAATTTATATTTCTCTAGTTATTAGTGATTTGGTGCATTTATGGTGTGTGTGTGTGTGTGTGTATCTGTATATAGGTTGGGTTTCTTCCTCTGAAAACTGCCTGATCATATACTTTGACCATTTATTAACTGAGGAATAGCTCTTGTTCTTATAAATATGAATATTCACATCTTGGAAATGAGAACTTTATCAGAAAAAAATGTTGCAAAGATTTTTCTCCAATTAACTATTAATTTAACTCCATTAATTCTGTTCATGCAAAATCTTTTCAATTTTATGTAACCAAAATTGTTAGTTTTATCTTCTATGCTCCTCTCTATCACTAGTTTTATATGAATTTTTGAGAAAACTTTTAAATAAAGGCAGCCTGTTCTAACAACATCATAGCTGAATGCATTAAATTAGGCTAATTTGCCCTGATTCTCAATTTGGCTCCTGCTCTTGACTCACTTAAAATATTAACTTTTATTGTTAATGGTAATGACATGTTAAGCAGAAAATTCAATTTTGAATTCAAGGATTGAAATTAAGTATGACTGCTAGGAAAAATAATGCCTCCACAGTATTTTTAAATGCTTTGTTGCTAGGACAAGCTACACTAAAAAAAAAATTGCCTGATAAAATTAGAAGCAATGGAATTGTTGTTCTTTGTCCTTCGTTTTTGAAGGGGGCCAGTGATATCACAGGTGATATTTGACTTGTTTGTAAATTGGATTTAAATGATGCAGAGTTGCACAACATCATCAACCTCATGCTTTCTTCCTGAGTCATCAGAGTCCAGTAGCAAGACAAAAGTCAAGACAATGGTTGAGGGTGCAGGGGATGACTTTGGCATCTTCGATGCCTGACCAAGCTCTGAGAGCTCCACAGCACCTGCTTCTGTCACCTTCAAAGCCTTTGGAACAAGTTGTTCTCATCTACCCATTCTGCCAGGGAAAGTTTAGCCCATTTGTTGAGACCGTGTCCTGAAGTGTAGTTACTGTAATAGCTATAGCATACTACAGCTTCTGGGAGACACAAGTGAGAATTGTGTGAATCAGTCGGACACCAAGGATAGATAAGCAGCCCTGAAAAGGGCTCAGCAAACCCTCAGACCAGAGGTGCTAGCCCTCCCAGAACAAACTGTGAATCCCAGAAGCAAATAGAATACTATTGCATTGAATACCACCTCTTGGCAAAGGCAAAACCTATTGGGGTTCATATTTTATTTGCTTCATAGCTATTGGTTTACCAATGTGAGAAAGAATGATTGATTTCTCCCTGTTTGGTATGAGGGCAACACTCTGACTTCCATTCATCTAGAATATGCCTTCTAAAGCTCCAAGTGATGTTTCCACCTCTTTTTTTATGAGATTGCTTTATATCCTTTTAACTGGAAGCTAACAATTTCACCAACTAACTCAGATTGTCTTTTATTTTTTTCAGTCATAGTCAAAGTGGAAGTGGAGGTAAGATGAATATTTTTATTGACCATTTCTTTTATAGTATGCCACCTATACTTAAAGAAACTATTAATATTTAATTCCCAGATCTGGGATTTTCCACAAATCACTTAATTTCTCAGAGCCTGTTTTCTCAACAGAAAAATGAGAATAAGAATAATAATAATAATAATAATATATATATATATATATATATATATATATCTACCTTACAAGGCTGTTGTAAAACTATGTTGATATGATACTTGTAAAATGCTATGTAAATATGAACTAATATTACTTCCAAACTAGTTAAGTTATAGTTAAATTTACCTGTATTCCCTATTTGAGAGTTAAAAGCAATATGAAATGGTAAAATATATGAATATTTAAGACATAGACGTAAACATTGCATACAGTTAAAGTTTATTTCTTATCAAAGCTTTGGTAAAAGTTTTAGTATGAGGAAAGGATTCCAACCTGTGATTTCATTGGCATAGGGAGCTCCCAAGTAAGGCAATCCCTTCACCAATGCAGGTTGGTATCTTCTCTGCTATTTAGAGTCCCAGAGAGTTTCCTAGAGTACTGAGGGGTTAAATGATTTGTGCAGACACACGAAACATATCAGAGACAGGACTTGAACTAGATCTTCTTTGGTTTGAGACTAGCCTTATCTGCTCCACCAGTCCAACTCTTAATATAAATGATTTTTTTTAATTAACAAAAGCTTTTTTTTCTGCCATTAAAATCAAGGAATGTTCCCAATTCAAGATGATGAAATTTATGATGGTGTTGAAGAAGAAGAAGATAATGGGTAAGAGCATAAGATTTGTCATTCATCTTTCTCACTAAAAATTGTAATATTTTAAAAAATAATTATTCTTGCTATTCCATTAATACGAAAGAGACAAAAGAGTAGACATTATGTGATCAAGGAACAATTATTTAAATATATTAACTGAATAGAACTGACATTTTTACACTCATCAGTGGAGTAAATCAGATACTATAATTATACTAGACTTCAACTAGAATTATATTTTCTATTTGGGGGACTTTAGAAAGGACATAGAAAAAGTGAAAGAGAGGAGAGATAAAGGAGAGCAATAAGTATTATTACATGCATTTAATTCAGTGACAATTTATTTTGCACCTAGTATGGGCAAAAGTAAACCCAGTCAACTAGAAATACAAAGGTAATTATAATTTAAAAAGTGATTCTCAAACTTTTTGGTCTCAGGACTGTCTTACACTCCTAAAAATTATCGATGACCTTTTCCAAAGAGCTTTTGTTTATGTGAGTTACATCTATCAATAGGGCAGCTCGGTCTGGAGTCAGGAATACTCATCTTCCTGAGTTCAGTCTGGCCTCAGAGACTTACTAGCTGTCTGACCCTGAGCAAGTCACTTAACCCTGTTTGCCTCAGTTTCCTCCTCTGTAAAATTAGCTGGAGAAGGAAATGGCAAATCACTCTAGTATCTCTACCAAGAAAACACCAAATGAGGTCATGAAGAGTCAGACATGACTGAAAAATGACTGAACAAATATCAATATTTACTGCATTAGAAATTAAAATATCTTAGCATTATTATCAAAATAATTTTTTATCTTGAGGAGCCCCTGAAAGGGACTCACAGACTCCCAGGAAGTCCTTGGACCACACTTTGAGAACTATTGATTCCTAAAGAACATGGAAGACCAATGTTCTTAAGGTCCTCACTGTACAGATAACTTATATCCCTATGATAAAAGACAAACTACTATGAAGAATTTGAGGAAGAAAGTGTGGTACAGTGGAAAGAGCACTGGTTCTAGATTTAAAGAACCTGGATTCAAATCTTGTTTCTGGTGCTTACTACTTGTGTGACCTTGGATAAGTAATTTAATGTCCCTGTGCCTCAATTTCCTCATCTGTAAAAATAAGGAAGTTAAACTTGATGGCTTCTGAGGTGTCTCCCAGCTCTATCTAGATCCATGAACCTCATAACTCTGTAAGATCACTTTTATCTGTGGGGAGGAAATGATGTTTGGATCAAAGAAGGCTTCAAAGAGCTGAGTCATGAAGAGCGAGACTTCGGCAGCCAGAGTTCCATTGAGAATGGAGTCTAAGGGGAGGGGGTGAGGGAATTCAGTTTTGGAGATAGGAAACAGCTGAGCTAGACACATCAGACACTTGATAAATGGAGGGTAGTCATTTTTTCCCAAAGAACTTAATCACTAATTCATAATTTTTCATGAGCCATCTAAAAGTCCAAATGGTATTATAAAGATCATTGTAAAATGGGAAGAATGTAGCACAGCCAAGTTAAATAACTTTATAGTGTTTGTGATGTAGATAACATATAATAATTAACACTTCCTGGGTTTTAATCCTATTTTTAAATTATTTAAATTGAGAAGTCAAAGATTTAGAGTTAGAAGAGGCCTTAGAAATCATCCATTCCAATCCCCTTGTTATACATTTGAGGAAACTGAGGCCCAGGGAGGTAAAGTGAACTATTACCTATGAACTATTGACTTTACATGATAGAGCAAATCAATAAGCAGATATTTAAAACTTGACTTGGCTTCATATTTTGAAAATCAGAAGAAAACTCAGTGAATAGGCAGGATGGATAACACAGCTGGGAGCAACTCTCAAGCAAAATTCATCAAAAAAAAATTTTTAAGGACTCACCTCTAAGAGGACCTTAAAGGTCTCTTTTCTTTTTTTCCTTTTTTTTTCTTTTTTAAAGGTACTGTGGTATCTGTAGTTTTTTGGCTTGGACATAATTAAGCCCTAAATTAGGATTTTTTTTTCAGCCAATCCCAAAATTACAATAAAAGCAGATGCATATTTTGAGCTGATACAATATTAGCTGATTTTAATTCTCTAGTTCCATGCATCAAAAACAATGCTATTCTGAAAGTATATATGTCCCTCTTTTTATTAATTATTTTCTTTAGTCCCCAAGCCAATATGACAAAATGGAAAAAGCTTCGTATTCAGAGTCTGATGATCCTATTTTGAATCCTGGGTCTGCTACTTACCACTTGTTATGTTCTTGGTCAAGTCATTTCACTTCTGTCAGAGACAGTTTCTCCATCTGTAAAATGAGAGAATTAGACTCAACCATTACTAAGGTCCCTTCCTTCTCAAAGTGCCATGATTCTAAACATTGGTTCTGTTAAGGAGTACATGAGTCACACGAATGTCTGAAGGAAATTTTCCCCTTCCTAAGGCTTTTAGAATGTTTATAATGAAAGGAAATATCATAAAAGTCCAAAGATATGCTTTGTTTGGATTGTTTGCTGTCTGAATTTTGACCCCTAATCAATAAAGTGTGAATGATAAAGGCATCTGAATGTCAACTCAAACATCTTTACAGTTCAATGATTGCATTCTGATCAGTGCATGCATGCTCCAAAGCTCCACGCTACAGGGCGAAGAGAAGAGTAATTCATGGACCTGGGGGATTTTGAAGATGTTAAAGGGAAAAGATGACAAAAAGAAAAGTGTACGAAAGACATCTAAAGACACTAAGTCAGACAGTAACGAAGACATAGCGTAAGAGTCAGCCAACCAAGTGCCGTGCACAATAATGACACTAATATTAATCCAATGACTACTAATATTTTTCATAACCAAGTAACCGCATAAGCAAATTGTTTTTGATAAACCAGTTTCTTAACATGCTCTCTGTAATTAATCATCACCATATTCTTATTATTTTTTTCTTTCATTCATAAGTTCACTCAACTAAGGGACTTAATTTTTTACAAAATATATTTTGCTTTCCCAACACAAAGAGTATACATTAAAACAGCTCATTTTTACATTGTGTGCACAGCTAAGGAACAACATCATAAGGGCATATTTCATTATTTAAGTAATGAACTGATTGCTTTTAGATTGAGCACGAGAGAACATGTTCTCTTTCAGACATTAACTTGCTAGTTATATATGAAATAAATAATTCAATCCAGAACATTTTTATTGACTACTAAGCAGTGAACCACATGCCAAAATAAAGAATATCACATTTAAAGACACTTAGAACTTCAGTTTTTATTATTCTTTAAATTATCTATTTCTTCAGTGCTGTACTTTAGATGAAAGCTATAAAGCTTTATCTTAAAAAAACAAAGAGCTGGGGTTTTTCCCCATTTCCCTTAAAAACATGAGTGGAAAAGCCTTCCAGCTGAATTTAAAGATGAAAAATAGTGTTCTCTTGTAAGGAAAACCTTTACTTCGGAGGTTTCAAATGGATTTACCATATGTGCTTCAAAAACCTAGTCAGTCTTCCAAGGAAATTCAGTACATGTAATCAGGAAATTGGTTCTAAAATTTCTATCAGAAACAAAAGTTCATCACTTTGATAAACAGAACACTTAAAATTTCTAGAAAGAAATGAAAAGAAATAATCTCTATGCAATACCACTTAAGAATAAACCACATCACAGGAGGTATTACTCTATCATTTAACCACTTTATACTGATTTCATATCACTTTTAAATTTATGATCTCACACTGGGTAAAATGGACATTCCCCTCTTGGTCACCATTTTTCCTGTATTGTGCCAAAGAGTTAAAATACATGTAGTAAGAAATATTTGTATTATTTCTGTTGATTTGAAATTCTGTTTTTTATACTTCCAAGCAATCTTGAACCAGAGTTATAGGATGGTGGTCAAATTGGAACTGGACCAAAAGATTTAGTCAACTCAATTTGTTGTAGCCATCCATGTGGCTAAGTGGTTTAGTGACATCCTGGGAGCACTACTTCCTTCAGTCATGCCATATGACTTTTCCTTCTGGTTCTGTGAACCAGATTTATTTATTTTTACTCAACTGATTTGGTCAGTCATCTAAACATGACCTTGATGATATCTTGTTTGCCTTGGTTCAATGCAAACTTCCAAATGAAACCCAAGTTTCATGGTAAAGGCTCAGTATCACTGGGGAAACGGAAGATGAGAGGGGAATGGCAATCAATCACCTAATTAACTACTGAGAGCCACCTGGCTATCACTTACTCATGTCTACTCTAAATAATAAGAAAATATTTGAATTTACATAGTAATATGAATGTAATTGCTTTTATTTTTTTTCCAGTTTCCCTTCTCCCCCAAAGCAGCTTGGATTGGGTAAGCAGAGAAGTTGTATTATTTATCTTGTTTCTTGTTCCATGATGAAGTGGGGACAGCTCTGAACTGAGAGGAGTAAACTTGGGTCCTAATCCTGCCTCTGCCAGGATAAACTGTTTGATATTTAAGCAAAGTGCTCTTTATCCTCCCTGGGCCAGTTTCTGTATCAGTTAATTTAAGTCAGTTGTACTAGATGAATCTCAAAGATACTCCCCTGTCCTAAAACTATTATCTTTGATCTGTGCTCATGTATGTGTTGTAAAAAGTGCTACTTTAAGTGAATAAATGAATGGATGCATGGGTGGATAAATGAATAAATGAACGAAAAAACATTTTTAAGGACTTATTATATGCCAAGGACTTTGCTAAGTACTGGGAATAAAAATAGAAGCTAGACATTCTCAACTTTTAAACAGCTCACACCCTAATTGAAAGAAATAATATATAAAAGAAATCCCAGATGCAGAACAGATGGGGAGGCTTAGAAGTCCTGAAGCTCAGTGAGGAGGAGGATGAAAAAGCCCAGGGGACTTTGGGTTCTACCAGGAGGTCAGTGCCAGGACTTCAGTACATAGGGACAGGACAGATCATAAGATGTGATGGTCCTCCATCTTGTGGGAAGGCATAGAGCTGTTGATACCCATCTCATCCAAACCCTATAATACCCTAGCTGCTCCAGGGAGGTGGAGGAGAGGAAAGGCAAAGTGAGTTCTTGGGACTAGCCCAAGGGAGCAGGTGAGGAGGGAATGCAAAGATGGGAGAGAATTAGCATAACTTATATAGCATTCTTGTTTTTTTCCCCACCTAGGCAGAACCCCTTGTGATTAAAAATCAGTTTCCGTAAGAAACACAGTCACATTCAATTATGCTAGGACTTCTAGAGTCTGACTAGAAAAAGATTCATTGTTTAAAATATCAACCAAATACAAAATAGTGTGGTATTTATTTTCCTAACATAATAATCTAAAATCAAACATAAGAACAAGGCACTGAACTGATCATTGTAATTGAATCAATAATTTTCAGATGCTTGCTCAAAAGCCTTAGCAACCCAGAAACCACTGAATGAATTAAGCTATAGATATCAAATATAACTGCTCTGATGACTAGGTAAAAAATATGTCCAAAAACAAAAGGACTAAAAATATAGGGAATATGGTGGAGGTGGTTAAGCACATCATTATTTGAAATATTTGCAAGGGATTTTTCAGCCTTCCATACACTAAGGATTACTCAACAAAAATTTATCAAGTTCCCTTTGTACAAGGCACAGTGATAACCAAGAGAGGGGGGGAAAAACAGTTCTGGGTGTTAATTGAAGGCACATACATTCTCACGGGGATGCAAAATTCATGCAGAAAATGAAATACAAGGCATATACAAAATGATAAAAAGTAATTTCAAAGAGGAGACAGTACTAACTACTCCAAGGAGTGGAAAAGTCAAGGAAGGCCTCTCATGGAAGGTGCCACTCCTGCAGGAGGTAGCCCCTGGTCTGGGCTTTGAAAATACTAGGGAAAAAATAATTCAAGGATCTGTGATTTTGTGGACATAGATGACAATCCCTACTTATCTTCATAGATGGTCTTTGCGGTTAATTGTATTAAAAAAAAATTCAGCATATGGGTGGCCTCAAACCTGAGAAGGCAAAATTGGCTGCTAGGTGGTACAGTGGAGAGAGTTCCGGGCTTGGAATCTGGAAGACTCATTTTTGTGAGTTCAAATCTGGCCTCAGACACTTACTAGCTGTCTCATCCTGGGCAAGTCACTTAACTCTGTTAGTCTCAGTTTCCTCATCTGTAAAATGAGCTGGGGAAGGAAATGGCAAAACACTCTAGCATCTTTGCCAAGAAAACCCCAAATGGGGCCCTAAAAAGTTGGACATGACTGAACAACAGCAACCTGTATGCTGATTTTTTTTGCTACAATTAATTGCAAAGACTAGAACCAACATGAGAAAAATTTCACAGCTTGCCTTCTGATCCGTTTCTTTCAAAATGGTACCAAATGAGCATCAAATCCCTATTTTGAAATCAAAACTAATCTTTTTTCTGCTCCATTTCTCCTCTACATTGTGTTTTGTTAGATGTAGGAGATGAAGTCTATGATGATGTGGATGCATCTGACTTCCCTGCTCCACCTGTAGATGTCAGGTAAGAGAAACTTGTTTCCAGTTCTATTGCCTATGGAATTCAAAAAAACCAGGGTATCCCAAAAGTCTTAGTGTGGTTTTAAGCTATTAAAGCTTGCTTAATCAAATTAATAAGGGGAAAATAGGCTAGAATCTAAGAAAATTTTGAAGAAAATAGCAATAGTTATTGCAGTAAGATTTCCAATGGAAGTGAAATCAACATTCTAATTTCACTACTTTATGCAGCTCTAGATAACATATGTAGAAGAAGCCCATTGTACTACTATCCATTTATTTTATAGAAATTAATCCAAAGCTATTCAAGTTTTCAACTGCACTGACACTTTTGGGACGCCCTGTGTAAGTAGAGGACACCACAGATACTAGATTTATTCCTTTCACCTAACTGTTATCAGCTGTGTTTTTATTCCCTATTTTACTTACTGTGTTCCTGCCCTTGCTAGATTCTTCCCTTGGCTTCCTTCTTGTTCTGCTGCCTCTCCCGACCCTGCCATTTATCTCCTCAGCTCCTGAATAGTCTTGACTGTCCCCCTGCCTTAATCCAACCTACCTATCATTACATTTTCAGGACCTGATGTGTCCTATCCACCTATGTCTCTCACTTTCATTTTGTTCCACTTTCTAATCCACTCTGTAACTTTCAACTCAGCACTTGATCAGCCTGTTCAAGCTCCCACCATACTCCACAAACAGATTCTTCTCTCTCTCTCTCTCTCTCTCTCTCTCTCTCTCTCTCTCTCTCTCTCTCTCTCTCTCTCTCTCTCAAAGTAATGGGGCCCCCAATTGTCTCTTAGTCATGTCCACTATTCACCAAAAAAAAAAAAGGTAAGTGTTTGTTGCTATAAAAATCATTCTTGTAGAGTAGGAAATTAATGAGGGAAATTTTAGGCTAGAATCCAAGAAAAACAGCAGTAGCTATTGGAGTAAGATTTCCTATGGAAGTAAAATCAAATACTCTAATTTCACCACTTTATGCAGCTCTATATAACATATATAGGGAAAGCCCATTGCAATACAGTGTCCATTTATCACATAGAAATGAATCCAGCATTGAAGAAATTGAGCCAGCATTGTAGCACTCAGCCAGAAAAATATAATCTATTCTGTTTGCACATGAAATATTTTCAAGATTCCATGCTAACCCTGAAAATTCTTTATGACATTCCCACCCTTTTGCCAAGAATTATTCAGCTACAAGGAAGATGGAAGCTTAACTCTAGGCCAAGTTTTGTTTTGTTTTATTTTGTTTTAACTGCTGCTATGCAGTCCTGGCCAACCCAAATTCCAGAAGAGATGAATTGGGGAATTAAGACCTGAAGGTGTGGTACCATCTAATTGCAAATGGAAAACGTTCATTTTGTTTCTCACATTAAAAATTCTCATGTGGCTTTGATCCCCATTCCTTGTGCTTCTATTTTGTTTTTCAAGCAAACAGGTGGGAGTTATATAAATGACTAATATTCAGTCAAGTCAGAAACAAATACTTAGCTGTGTGCTGCTAAATGTTTAATAATCGAGTCTTCGGGGAGGAAAAGAATGTATGCATCATGGTTTTAACACTTTTATGAACATTTTCTCCATTGCTTTCTTAAGTTTAGATAACCAACAAAACAATAAATCGAGCCTTGATTTATATTGTTTGTTGACTTTCTAGATGCAAATGGTCACACTGAAAATTTGACAATTAGCTCTCAAATCTGTATGAGTGAGCTGTCTCTAGTGTACCCCGGTAAATCTCTCACCTCAGGGTGACTAAAGAGTAATTGAAAGTTCAGGTGCAAGTGAACTTCGTGGCATGTCTGAGAGACTTCAGAAGCTGAGGATACCTGTCAGCCCTCAAGAACAGACGTCATCTCACTAGGCTTTGCTGCAGTTGTCGATCCACAGATCTGATTTCTCAGTGCTAGGACAAAAAAATATAGAGGAATGTCCGCTCCTCCGAAATTCCATAGCAATGTCACTCATATAACCAGGATCACCTTAACCAAAGAATGCCAAAGGTCTCCAACACATCAAGAATTATTACATTTTAATTTATATGCTTCAATTATATGAAAAATGGTTTACGTTGTGATTTTGTTTTTTTGTCTAGACCTATGAGATCATCAGTACAAGGATCTCCCAACATGGAAACTTTTTCTGCCAATGCAGAAAAGCAGCTGCTCAGCAACTGATAGTCTTAGACAGTTATCTGGGTACACTGAGAGGTTAGGCAAATTGTCTAGGCTTACAAAGCCAGTATGTGTCAGGAGCAGAACTTAGACCGAGGTCTTACTAACTCTAAAGCCAGCTCTCTGTCCACAGCACTTTCTGTGCCTCTCATATTGTAATTATAAAATAGAGAAGATTCAGCTTTATTGCCAAGCAGCCAATTCCCTTGAAACAGAAAAGTCTTTGTTCTTTTAAAGAAAGTGAATAGTAAAGGTTTTATACTAGAAATAAGAATATTTAAAGTGTCTGTTCGAAGGAAAAAATACAAACAGAATATGGTCAACTTGATTCTGTGAGCTGTTCGAAAAAAATAACTGCAAGTTTTTTCTTTGGGATTTTGTGAACACTGCTACATGGCTCATGGCAAATGAGATAGAAAAGCTGACAGTATCAGAATCCAAAGGGAAAAAATGTTCAGTCACTCACGCACAGATAAAGTTCATGTAAGCCATCCCCTAAAGATAAATATCTCTTAGAGAATATTTTTAAGTCTGTAATTATAATTTCTATAACCTCCACTAGTACCTGGTCCAGTGTTTAATAACACTTACCACCAAAATAAAAAAATTATTAAATGAATGTTGAAAACAAAAATAAAATAATAATTTGAAATTTTAAAATAACCCTCAATATAGTGAAGTCAGCCCTTACTTTTAATTCAGTTTCTACTGACACTTCTTTGGCCTCATGCTATGTCCTGTAGACTTAATAAGGAACAGTTGGTCACCACTGTATATGATGTTAGGATCCTCATTCTGTAGCTCTACAGAACCCCAGAGAACATTTTCTCTAACCTCCTCATTTTACAGATGAGGATACTATGGTACAGAGAAGTTATCTCCTCTATAATAGCCTTACAAAAATCTCTGGACTTTGTTCTTCTAGGCCAAAGAGCCAGATTCCGGTTTTTTAAACCTTATCAGAAATATCCTATCTTTCTATTTGTAATCATTACTTACTTTCTGAATTTATAAAAATCTTTAATGATATCTTGATTAGAAAATGAAGTTAACTGTTCATAGACCTAGAAAGAACCTCAGAGGCTGAATCTAACCCCTTTGTTTTACATATAAGGAAGTTGAGGCTCAGGGAACCTGACTTGCCTCAGATAGCAAACATCATAGGTGGTATTTAAACTGAGGTTCCCTGATTCCAGAGGCAGTATTCTCTTCCACTAGACCAGGGGTGGGGAACCTGCACTAGACCATGCTCATATAATCAGAGGAAAGGATAACAACAGATAAACTGCCTATATGTCACACTGGTACCCACATAATATTCAAAGAGACATAAGAAGTTCTCCACATATTGAGGATTTTTAGAAGAATATGGATAAGAATCACATAAAATGACAAGAGATGGATGGGATGCAGTCAGTACTTGTGGAAAGATTATGGATACATCAAATATTGAAGCACAAAACTCTTGATCTTTTCTAGTATTCTCTCACATTTAAAAAATATTCAAGTGGCAGCTAGGTGACACAGTGGGTAGAGCTCTGGCCTTGGAGTCAGGAGGACCTGAGCTCAAATCCAGCCTCAGACACTTGACACTTACTAGCTGTGTGACCCTGGACAAGTCACTTCACTCTGATTGCCTCACCCATAAGAAAAAATTCAGATTCCTCTCAAATACATCCACAGAGCTAATTTGAGCAACAGTTTCCATGGGCTTCTAAATGAGGCAGGCAAGAGACACTAATGAATAGAACTGGAAGAAGAAAGTTCACTGATCCTCCTTTCAGAACATGGCAAGATTCAGAGTGAAGCATCAGGAATATTTAAACTAAATTGCTTTTAATGAGAATTTGTTATTATACAAATAAAGAGAAACTAAATGCTATGCACTTAATAAATTCATATTTAGTTGTTCATAAGGAACTTGGTAATAAGAGGGCTTGCAGAAATTCAAGTTTCTTCTTCAGACTCCACATTTAGCCCTACATCCATCTCTTTGCCCTTTGACTACTTCAGCATAGTTAAGGTAGAGTATATAAAAGATATTCCCTGGTGAATGCCATGCCTCTCACCCCTAGTGTGGTCACTTCTCAAAAAATCCGTTACCTTATCAAAACATTGTTGACAATTCTTCCATCAAAAAAAAAAGTTAGATGCAAACATAGAAAAGGCATGTGGCAAAAAGGAAAGGAAAGGCATGTAGGACAATTAGAAAAAAGAATAAATTTTAGCCAGTTCCAATAGTCATGTAGGCATTCTTTTTCTTCATTAAAAGTCTACCTTCTTTATTATAGATTTAGGTTACCCATCATTTCTTTTTTTTAGGTCAATATGAAAAAAGTAGAATCTAGACAATAGTGTGTGTATGTGCGTGTATATATATGTACATATATAATTAAAATGACAAAAAGCTTGGCAAGGAGAAGAGAATTTAGTTAAAATTTCTTCATGAGCTTAGGCAAATCATTTGATTTTTAGGGCATAATTTTCTCATGTCTAAAATGAGTGAGTTTGAACTAAATGCTGCCTAAAGTCCCTTTGAGTTATAACATTCAATAATTCTATATTTTCTTCAGCACTCCCTCCTGTGGTATAATTGGTTACACTAAATACACTTGATTCTTTAAGAAAATGGATAAAGTAAAATTTAAAACTAGTGCTATTGCTGATAATGTCTTTATGTTGTACATATTTGGTTTATGAGAGTTATTTAAGCTTTGATGGAAAGTGTTACTATTCTGTCGATGTTCTGGTATTATAGCCTAGGAGTGAACTTTGGCAAAAGCAAGCCAGAAGACCCAAAGAAGCTGAAAAAGCAAGAAAAAGAAGAAAAGGAATTCAAGAAAAAATTCAAAGTAAGTCAATTAAATCTGATCAGAATTTCATGATACTCTCCTTCATACACACTATACTCCAGCCAAACTCATTCAGGTGACAATTTGTCTATCTTTGTTAGTATATTTTGAATGTGCTTGTCTGCTTAGATGTCATATCTGCCAGTAGAATGTAACCTTCTTGAAGGCAAGGACTGTTTTTCATTGTTGTCCCTGTGGCTCCAGTGCCCAGTATAAGACTTGCTTGGAACATGGCAGATGTTTAGCTAATGCTTGCTAAATTGTTTAATTGAATTGAATATAAACATGTATTTACATGCAAAATTGTTCAAAAATTGTTATTTTAACAGCACATTTAGGGAAAATACAAATAATATCTTTTTTGTTTTTAGTTTGATGGTGAAATTAGAGTCCTTTATACAACTCAAGTGGTGCCTACCTTAAGTACTAAAAAATGGGGAGCCAAAGATTTACAGTTAAAGCCTGGAGAATCTCTTGAAGTCATACAAAGCACAGATGATACAAAAGTACTGTGCAGGAATGAAGAAGGAAAATGTAAGTCATTGCACATGCTTTGCACTATGTATCATATCCCAGTATTGTCTAAGATCAAATGATAAAATTGTATATAATTTGTATAGCACAATGGTTTTTTAATTTGGGGTATATACCAGTAAGTAGAATTTTTTCATAAAAATTAACAGGCTTAGATTCAAATTATTCTCTTTCCAAGTATCCATAGAGGAAGAGAATTATAGTAGACAATCTCCAAGTTCTCTTCTGCTTGGAATCCTGTGACTCAAGCCCAGTGTGTACTATATGTTTATATAGATACATGACAAATTTGATTCTGAAATGCTGAATATCTTTTTCTGCCCTGGTTTTGAATTTTTAACAGATTATTTCATATCTGTAATTCCAATTTACTATTTTGCATTTATATATACTTTGATTTAATATTTAATTAACCATAGTTATAAATATTAAACCAGATAAATAAGAGTCTTTGCCCTTTAGGATTTTTTAATCTCCTTTTTTAAGTTTGCAAATGAACTTTTTTTCCCAAAAATGTATACAGCTTGTTTTGTTTGTTTTGTTGAAAGCCAAAGGAGAAGAGTAGTTCAAAGCTGTGTTGCCTGAAGAGTCTTATCTGAGACAAGAATGGATGCCCTCCAAAGATGACGCCCCCTGTGAGTGCACAGGAAGGGCTAGTAGAGCATAGGCAAAGAGGGATTTGGGGAGAGAAAGGACCCTGGATCTAAGCAAGGATGATAGATTCTTATATGGGTGTAGGTGGTACAAGACAATTATGGTGGGCTCTCAGTTGCATGTTTAATTTAAAAAGAAAAGTAACTCAGGGAAGAGAATTGAAGTAATGTTCTAGGAATGGAATGTAGTAATATGTAGGAAAAAGGAACAAAGGGGACAACAAGATTTGATTGGGCTCCTACTCTCAGTAGCATTTGTCTTGCTCCTCTTTCCCCTAAGATTGTTATGGAGCATTTCCCATCACAGAAACTTGGGGGAATAGACCCATCAACATATAATTCAGATTCTAAAAACAACTATTCTCAGTCCATTGATTTTTAGAAGCATGGAGAAAAAGATCTTGTCTGTGTATTATTATAGAGTGTCAGCCAAGTGAACAGCTTCTCAAGGAAAATTTCAAGGCTTTCTGCATGGATACCAGCAAATTACCAAGAGCATACCATCATAAAACATATCTACTTTTCTCATCTGTTTTGTCACTTGTATTTCTCTGTTTTATTTACTTCAGAAGTTTCCTCTTCAACTGCTTGTACTTTTCTGCTACTCTCACCTCTGTTCCTTATTTCCTCTCTGGATCTCACTTTTGGAATATCTCCCAAATCTTATCCATTCAAATCATTTTCTTCCTTTTATTAAAAATTCAAGTAACACCTCAAGAGCTCTGGTAACCACACTATGCTTTTGTGCTCAATATCTGGCCTAAAATTTATAGTCCTTAAAAGAACATGTTATTCAAAAACTTCAAGACCTTAAAAATTTAAGAGAACTGAAGCTAATTCAGTTGTTATTTCTCTCTAACCAGTCATATTCACAAACATATTCCAAAATGAGACTTTATGAGGGTTTCAGAATATCCCAATCTAAAATCAATTTGCGGCAAAAACAGAGACTTTTATAAAGAGAAATCAGAAATATAAGAACATGTCAGTGGTGAGGTAAAGAGACCTGATTCTATAGTTGTATTGGGTAACCATAAGTGATATTCATAACAAACTGGAGGACACAGTGGAAAGGAGTTCTACTTTGGGTGTCAGGGGCAGGATGATTTAGAAAATAATGAATTGGAAGGGTATCTCTTGAGCACTTATCACATACTCGGCACTTACTATATTAGTCTTAAGGGGAGGGGTTGAAAAACAGATACACAGCAGAACATATAGACACACAAGAAAAACAATACAAAGATGTCTACAGTAAGAACCAGATGAGTGTTGACAATGAATGAAAAGACAAGTCACAAGAAGCAAAGATTATGCTTGGGCTGCAAATGGACATTTGGTCTGTACCTGGGATTAAATTGATGTAAGGAACTCCTGATGAGGAAATCCTTATAACAATGCAAATCTGCAAGTCTTCTACAACTGGTAGCCTTAAAGAGCTTTGGAGCACTGAAAGGTTAAATGATTTGTCTGGAGTCACACAGCTAGTATGTGTCAAAAGCAGGACTTGTATACATGTCTTCCTGACACCAAAGTCAGCTTTCTATCCACTATACCAAGCTGCCTCTATAAATGGGTAAGTCCACTGAATTAATAAGAATCCCATGTTCATGTGACAGAATCATGGGGATGGTCCCAGAATATTCAAAGTTACTACAGATGATCAGGTTTATAAAATCTGCCCATATCTCTCCATAGGTAGTACATGGACACATTTAAATTGGGATGTTTAGTGAGTTGTTTCCAGGTTTACAACCAAGGATGGGAGGCATCTAGTAGACAGAGTTGGAGACTGAGATTATATCTACAAAATACCAATAGAACTATTTGAAAAGTAAGAAGTTAAATTAATTACTTGATAAATCTAAACCACACAAAACAAATGGTTCAATAATTTTTAAACAAATTAACTCATTATATTGATATTATTTAACAATATTTTGAGAACCAAAAGTCAAATATTAGGGGAAAAAAACAATTTTATTCTGGGTTTGTCAATATGTTGGTATATGAATTTAAGCAAATCATTTTACATTACTATACCTTAGCAGTCATCTATATACAATGAAGGTAATGATAACATTTCATCAAACAGAGATTCAGATCCCCACCTCTGATGCTTGCCTCTGTATGATCTTGGCCAAGTAACTTAACCTCGTTGTGCTTCAGCTTCCTCATCTATAAAATAAGATGGCATCTGATATACCTTTGAGCTTCAAATTTATGATCCTCTGATTCTGTGATTGATCGGTACAAGTTATCCAGAACAGTATATAATAGGCCAATTACCTCCCTCGTCATAAATATTATACCCCACCTACCCAAAATAGTTTTGAGGAAAAAAGTATATGAAAGTACTTTGTACTTCAACAAACAAGATTTCATAGTAAATAGATTGATGAACTTAGAGAAAGGTCAACCTAGATTCAAATTCTGCCTCTGACATTTACTACTGTACTAGCTGGGTGGCCCTAGGTAAGTCATTTAACCTCAAAGCCTCAGTTTTCTTACCTATAAAATGATTATAATAATAACACCTACTTCATTGGGCTGTTGTAAGGATCAAATGAGGTATTGTAGATAGGGTGTTTTGCAAACCTTAAAGAATTATATTACTTTCCACTACTAGTATTATAATGGATCACTTAGGAATACCTTAATCCATGTATTTTATTTATATTATTTCTAAAGTTGCCAATAATTAATATTAATAATATTATGTAAAAGGGCCATGTTCTTTCTGGGAACTACACTCCCCAGAGGCCTGGGTGAGGGTCTGCAGCGTGGCAACATCACCAAACATCATGTGCTAAGTGTTTCTAACATCTAACGTGATGAGGATTTCTAGCATCTCCACAATGTAGAACTCAATGCAGACTTCTGGGAGATATGCCCACTTACCCTTAAAACTATAGAGTATTTTTAAATGTTTACAAAGCACTTATATACATATTATTTTGGGCAGTGAGGTGGTACAGTGGATAGACCCTCTGGGCTCGAAGTTAGGAAGACTCCTCTTCATTAGCTCAAATCCAACCTCAGACACTTACTAGCTGTGTGAACTTGGGTAAGTCACTAAAACCTGTTTACTTCACAGTATCCTTGCCAAGAAAACCCCAAATGGGGTCACAAAGAGTCAGACACAACTGAAAACCAATTCAACCACAACATATCTTATTCATTTAGCTCTCACAATAATATTGTGAAGCTATATTTATCTCACAGTGGTATTACTTCTATTTTACACAAGCAGCATCTGAAGACCAGATAAATTATTTTCCCAAAGCTACACGCCAAGTAAGTGGCAAGCCTGAAACTTTGATTTGGGTCTTCTAATTCAAATCTGTTCTTTTCATTATCATGTTGCCTCCATTTACATATTTTATGCAGAACCCAATGCCCTATACCTCTCTCATCAGGAGATGGAATCCATAACATTTTATAAAAGGGGAAATGCCCTATGCCTCATAAATGGGACATATAGTACATGCCTTTCTTGAAATATATGAATTAACCCTATAATCTCAAGCCCTTGAGTTTACCTGATCAAATTTCCAGTTATAGCCTACCATTATGATGGCTAGTCTTAGAAATGATTATTTCTACTACTGTGTAAGACATAGAACCTCTTAGAGCCCTGTATAAAACCTAGGCAACTGGTCAGGCATACTTGGGTACCAGCAAATTATACCTTCTCATTAATACAAGAAAACCTTCATCCCATCCTATTCTTCTCTTGGGGTTAAAGATGAAATTTGGTCCATTGTTAGCTCAAACTTCTAGTGTTACAGTCTCTCTAAAATAAATTTTCCCTCAAATCCAAAGGTTTCTAGTCTTATCTCAAGAGTTCAAATTACTATTCATCTCTTAGAGGGTAGGATTTCCTTGGCACTGGAATTAATCAATAAGCACTTATTAAGTACCTACTAGGTGCCAGGGATACAAAAATAAAACCAAAACAACCATCTAATGTCCAACAAAATCTGCTTCTGCAGAATCCCCATAATATCTATTGAAGGATGAAGTTTCCAAAGAAACATGCCCTTTTTACATATAGACAATTCCATTATTCAATGTTGAACAGGCAATAATTTTATCTACCTCCTGTCTGTCATTAGGAAGAAATCATTTGTCAACATTAGAATGAGGCAGCTCCTAAACCATTCCCAGCCCCTGATGAAAGGAGAAATGTTGAATATGTTTCAGAGATGTTTTATAGATTTGCCCAAATATAGTTGGACACTTCTACAGCTGACTAGGCAAATCAATATGGTATATTTTCATAGCTTTTGCCTGGATATACTCAAATTGTATGCTTTTTTTACTGCATTTCTGAATTTGACCACATTTTTATATGTATATGTATATATACATATATTTGTACATATATGCACATATACATATATTTCTATATACATATAGACATACACAGGTTAATTCTAAAATCTTAGTACAGTTTTAAACTTTAATAGCTTAAACCTGAATATATGTTCATGACTATACATATATGCGTGCACATATACTGATACATACGTACATGTGTGTGAACACATATGTACATATTATATATGTGCTCATGTTACATATACATATATCCTTAAATTATCTTAATTTTCAAGATGAAAGAAACTTCAGAGATGATCCAACTCCCTTATTTTAGAGATGAGGGAACTGAGACCTAGAGAGGAGGTTAAGCAACTTGTTCAAGATCACAAGATGTATATCAAAGGAATAAAAAATGTGATCAAGTGATTATTTTTTACTTTGGAGACAATGGAAAATTTTTTAAAGGAACCCATTTACCAATTCAATGGATTTCTCATTTTTTGTTGTGTTTATACTCACAAACACCAAAGTCACTCACTAGCTGGAAGTGGTTGCTACACAAAAGCCAAACAAACATTTTGAGATAGAATTGACGGTCACATATGGGTGTGGGAGCTCATTTCTGAGCTAGTTCTGCCCTACCAAATGTCAACAAAACATTTGTTTCATATCAATGTGTTCTGTCCTACTGAGGAGAGATTTCTAAACAAAAATTAGATCTCTTATCTGTGGCAGACACTTTCATATGAGCCTCTACATAATTTACAAGACTCTAATGTAGAAGCTGTTCTGTTACACCAAAACCCACTGTTGGGGATATTCACATGTGAGCAAAGACAGGATTTATCAACTGTAAATAAGATTTATTTCTAGGAACTATAAAGTATAGATTATATTAAAAAATATGATTTTTCTTTTCGATACATCATGAATCACCTGTAATTGAATTAGGTTTTTAAAAGAATTCAGAAAGCGAAAGCACCGAAATATTAGAAGTAATAACTCTGGAAAAATCCTGTCCATTAGCGATGGATAATGATTTTGTAGCGGATGAGCACAGAATTGGTGCATTTTTTCCGGAAACTGAAAAGAACAGTAAGGTGTCATCTACTTTATACCTCAAAGCATCTCCTCTAAATACTACTAATAATGGTTTATATTCATTTAACACTAAGCTAAGTGATATACAAAAGAGAATCATTTTCTTGAGAACCCTGAGTAGGCAAGATAGAGAAGGGAATTTTGTCCGTGTTTGAGAATCATATAGAATTACTTTTACATAATACATGATGTTCAGGAGAAATAACTGAGCTCCTTATCATGAATGAGCATACAAAGCTTTTCTAATAGAAAGGACTATGATCATGCTAAAATACAAAAGTAAAACAAAATCAATTCTAAAAGGTCAGTAATATATCATGAAATGTAACAAAAACTAAAAGAAATTCACAAAGGCAATAGCTGTGCTATCACCATTTTCTCAGAAAAGTTAAGTACAATGGTAGGCAAATAATAGCCAATAGCAGCCACTTAACTGATATGCATAAAATCAAATTTAATCTGGTAAAGTAAAATTTTCATTATGTTATAGTTCCTATATCATATTACTATGTTGTAGCATATATATAACTATATTACACATAATATCTTACTATATCATAATGTGTTCCTATATATACTATACACACTATAGAAGGGAGAGGAGTAGGAAGGAGGACAGGAGGAGGCAGATGAGGAGAGAAATCCAAATTATATAATATCTGAGTTGGAAAGAACCTCAAAGACCATCTAATCCCACTCATGGTTGAGCAAAGATCTCCTCCTAATATACCTAACAAGTGATCATCTAGCCTTGAGGGCCTCCCTTGAATAGGAAAGCATTACCTCCTGAAGAAGCCCATTCTGTTTTTAGAAAACTCTAATACTTGTTAAGAAGGCTTTTTTTTTTCAATCTGCAATTTCTGCCTGTTGTGCTCAGTTCTGCCCTCTAGAGCCAAGTGGAGCAAGATTAATCCTTCTTCTAAATGATAATATTCAAAATATTTGAATACAACTATTTTGTTTACCATAAGTCTTCTCTTCTCTAGGCTAAACACCCACGACCCTTCAACCAACCCTCATGTCTTGTCCTTGTCTAAATACTCTCTACCAATGTTCTTCCTAAAATGTAGTGCCCAGAACTGAACATAATAGTCTAGATAGGGTCTGACCAGGTCAGAATACAATGAGACTCACTTTATTCTTTCTGGAGTCTATGCCTCTCTTAATACAGTATATATTTGCTTTTTGATCATCATATTACATTTTGGACTCATATTGAGTTTGAAGTCCACTCAAACCTCCAAATCTTTTTCAGAGTAACTACTGTCTAGTTATACTTTTCCCACATTATACTTGGGAAGTTGATTTTTTTGAACCCATGTTTAACACTTTACATTTATCCCTTTTAAATTTTGCCTTATTAGATTTTACCAGTGGTTAGCAAAGGAGCATCAGCAACTGTTGTCTTTTAATCCTAATTTTTAAACAGATTTCTTCTAGTTGGGAGGAAGGAAAGTCAGAAGAATGTAGGGGTAAAGGAAGACATTAGAAAGAGAAGATTGTTATAAAGAGCCACATTACCACCTCCAGTTCCTTCTGGTCTTAGATATTGCAAACACAAACTTCCATTTCTTAAAACTAAAACTGATATTTTTCTAAATGGCGTATTAAAGACTTTTCTCTATTTCTTTTTATTTCATAGATGGTTATGTCCTTCGGAGCTGTTTGGTGGACAAGTAAGTAAAAATTATCTTTCAATGCTATATCTTGTTGCAAGAAAGAATTTTGTGACTTTTTGCCAGTTTTTCTTGTGTTAAGTAGAATAACAACTCATGCTACATAAATGTGAAAAATATTATATTCTATATATTAATGATAGTAATTGTGATTATAATTTAGGTTTTCAAAAGATGCAATTATTACAGTAGCTATACTTTCTGCTAGCTCACATAGTTAATATTGCAAACCCACAGGTCATAGCCACAGTTTCTCTTATTAATACTGTATGGTTTTGTTCCTAATTTATGCAACTAAGTTAATCAATTGAGCAAGGAGCGATTTCTTTCCTCTAAAATGAGAAGAGATGGATTAGATGGTCTTTAAGATTCCTTGTAATTTTATGCTGTATGATCTTGGACTAGCCCCTTATGCTCTCAGTAGCTCATGCAGCTATTTCTCTATGACTGCTGGATGTCCCAAAAATCTTAGGGCAGTTTAAGCTTTAATACCTTATTAAGCATGACTAGTTTAAAACTCCACAGACTTTTTGGCTCACCCTGTATGAGTTGCAGAGCAATTACTGATCTGCACATCTGTGTTGATGGAAGGAATTAACTCTTTAGTAATTCCTTGTGCCAATGAATTCATAGGTTTACCCCAAGTACCCTCCCCAAAAAAAGATCTAAAAGTCTGTGATTCTAAGTAGCTATTTAATCCTAGAATCAATAGGGAGTTACTACACTATAAGTATGGGAGTAACATGGTTGCACCTACACTTATGAAAATCACTTTGGCAACTATATAAGATGGATTGGAGAGGGGAGAGACTTGAGGCAAGGGAACCAATTAGGAAGCTATTGTAAGATGATGAGGGAGGGCTTGAATTTAAGTGGTGTCTGTTGGAGTAAAAAGAAGGGGGGCAAATTAAACACTGGTAGAATGGACAATATTCGAATATGTGAAGTGAAGGAAAGTGAACAGTCTAAGATGATGCCAAGGTTGTGAGACCCTGAGTGAGTGGATGGTGGGGTTTCAGCAACAATAGTTAGGTTAGAAGAGGAGTATGTTGGAGAGTGGGGGAACATTCAGTGATATCTGTAAGGCAGATTAGAGTCCGTCCTTGCCTGTTCATTCTGTGTGGCTCACTTTGTCCCACTAAAAGTTGAAAGGGGAGGGGTAGCTAGGTGGAGCAGTGGATAGAGCACTGGCCCTGGATTCAGGAGGACCTAAGTTCAAATTCAGCCTCAGACACCATAACACTTACTAGCTGCGTGACTCTTTGCAAGTCACTTAACCTCAATTGCCTCGCCAAAAAAAAAAAAAAAGAACAATTAAAAGGGGAAAGCATGACTCTAATTCACCTATCCCTGGCTCCTACATGCAGAACTTACCTTCCAGGAGTGACTTTCCTCACAGCAGTTATTTCAAACTTTTTCATCCCTCATGCCTCCCCTCCCCACCTGTGGTTCCTGTCCTCACCCCCACTCAGCTGAGAATTTTGCTTTATATTTCCCAGAAAAAAAGAGGCCATTTGCCAAAAGCTCTCTCTTTTCACCTCATTAATATTTATCTCCCCCTACTATCTCCTTCTCTAACCCTTTACTCACTGAGCTGGTGTTACCTGCAACCTGGTATAGGCCCTAATTCCTTCAAGCCTAGGTTATTGAAATAGACTTCTGGTTGGTCTCCCTTCCTCAAGTTTCTTCCCCACTCCAGTGATCCTCTACTCAAAATCTTCCTAAGGCACAGATCTGACCATGCCACATTGCCCCCTCAAATCAAAAATCAAAAAACTTTACTGGCTCCCTATGACCTCCAGGATCAAATATATCATTCTCTCTTTGACTTTTAAAGCCCTTTATAACCCAGTCATTTCCTCCCTTTTCAGTCCTCTCATACCTTTCCACACTCATTGATGCAGCAATATTCACCTTGCATGGAACCTCACAGAAACATTCCATCTCCTGACTGCCCTTCACCAGCTGACCCATGCCTAGAATGCTTTCCCTCCTTATCTGTGCCTCCTGACTTCCCTGGCTTCCTTCAAAACTCAGGTCAAATCTTACCTTGTATAACAGACCTTTCCCAACCCCTACCCACCCTCAGTGCCTCTCTAAGATTACCTCCTGTTTATACTGTATATATCATAGATTCTGTATTTTCATGTTTTCTTCCCCACCCCACCCCCATCTCCATTCAAATGTGAGTTCCCTGAGATCAGGGACAATGTTTTTTGTCTTTCTATATCTCTCTAGATACTATGTGGCTGGCACATAGTAAATGTTTCTTCCCTGACTGGCTCACTGCCTACCACGGTCAGAGAGTGCTCTAGGGGCCAGGGACTAAGGGATGTAACTTTCCCAATGGCACCTACAAAGCTTCTGCTGTAGGTTCTTGGGAACCCTGAAGGGTTGGGATGCTGCTAAGTTCTGAAAGTAAAAGGTTAGGAGTTTGCAAAATAGAGAGAATAGGTAGAGTAAGAGAGTGTTAGAAAATAAAGATAGATATGATTGTTATAGTGGCAGCTAGGTGGCACAGTGGACAGAGTGCTGGGCCTGGAGGCAGAAAGACTCACCTTCCTGAGTTCAAATCAGGCATCAGACCCTTACTAACTGTGTGACCCTGAGCAAGTCACTTCATCAGTTTGCCTTAGTTTCCTCATCTATAAAATGTGGTGGAGAAGGAAATGGCAAACCACTCTAGTGTCTTTGCCAAGAAAACCCTAAATGGGTTCACAAAGAGTCGGTCATGACTGAAAAACAGTCAAACAAACAAAAAAAAGAACAGTGGCTGTTATGTTGGAGACAAGCCCCACAGTTGGCTATCACAGTAAGAGTGGGATGTAACCCATCTTCCCAGCCTCCATTTGGTTGATCACATACCCCTATAGGATCAGGCCTGGCCCTGACTTTGGGAGACTACAGATCAATACAATAGACATTAAGCTCTGGGGGGGGTTTTATTTTTTTGTTTTTTGTTTTTTTTTTTTGGTTAGGCAATGGGGTTAAGTGACTTGCCCAGGGTCACACAGCTAGTAAGTGTTATGTGTCTAAGGCCAGATTTGAACTCAGGTCCTCCCAAATCCAGAGCTGATGCTCTATCCACTGTGCCACCTAGCTGCCCCTCTATTTTTTTTCAACCTACCATAAATACCCTGGACATGAGGAGAGCTTCCTGTATTTATGTCATTACCTGCCTGAACCAATTCTTGTATTAGTCTCCATTCTCTGCTCCTTTGAGCTAGTTGTGGGCATTCACTCACAGTATTACAGTTCAGTATGATCTTTTGACTTGACTCTGTCCTTAATTAAGATCTGGCTTTTGGCTCCGGTGAAAGCTTGGTAAGGAGTCAGAGAAGCCTAGAAAAATCAGGATTTGAGATACTTTTAGAAGGCCCCAGTGATCTCATCAGATCATCTTCCAGGAAAATAAATGAGCAAAGCAGAATCAGTAGCAAGTTCAATTCAATTGAACATGTATTAAGCATCTACTATGTGCCTGCTAGGGCTCTAGGCACAGGGGCTACAAAGACAAAAATGAAACAGTACCTGCCCACGATGGGCTTACATTCTATTGAAAGAAGCAATATATACATAGACAAGTAAATACAAAAAATACTTGGGAAGTAATTTTGAAGGAGGGTATTAACAACTGAGGAGATCAGAATAGACTTCCTGTAGAAACAATTGAGCTAAGCTTTGAAGTGACCTCGGGACTGGAGCCAGTAGCTGAGTATTCAGAATCACAGAATTCAAAACAACAGAAGCATGAAGCAGGATTTCAAAAGTGAAGCACAGGTGTAGGTCAACAACCTAAGATCAGATGGGACTAAGCAGATTAGTGCTATTAAGAAGTCTTAAAGGGGCAGCTAGGTGGCGCAGTGGATAGAGCACCAGCCCTGGATTCAGGAAGACCTGAGTTCAAATGTGTGGCCTCAGACACATAACACTTACTAGCTGTGTGACCCTGGGCAAGTCACTTAACCCCATTGCCTAGCCAAAACAAACAAACAAACAAAAAATCTTAAAAGACTCACAGTGGCAAATCACCTAGTCTCTAGACAAAGCCAACAACCCCTGTAAGTCAGAAACAGCACTAAAGGCTGCCTTCAAGAGTAGGGCACAGAGGTCCATGTACTGGATCTTTGCTTCATCTAGGCAAGAAGACTTTCTGCTGAAAATACTTTAAATTTCTAAATGCTGAACTTGTAACCCTAGTTACAAGTTTCAAAGTATAATAAGTAATAATAACTTAAAGTGATTTATAGACTGATCACAATTCTCATTATAATGCCAGTTCTTTGAAGATAGGGACTGGGTCTCATATATGCCCCCACAGTGCTTAGCACAAAAAAATGTATTAAATCAGTCAATGATTTAAAAAAAATATGGAAATAGAAATGTTGTATATAGATTTGTAAAAGTATCCAAAAGCATTTCATGGATGTATCAAATATGCTTAAATATCTAAAAAAAAATTGGAATTCATCCAATTGGGTAATCCCTCTGCTAAGGCAGATTTCAAGCCCTCCACACTTTAATCAGTGATCTTTGTGAGTTACCATGACCCTAATGTATAAAATAAACAATCACTTTTTAGAATTACATAAATGTATAGTCATATATTTTTGTATCATTACAATAACATTTTAGCTCTTAACTTTGTTAATTTCCATTTTTAAAAGTAGAAAATAATCATTGTATTTTCCACATCAAATATAAATGCGTTTTATTCAATACTAAAAGTCCAAGTGAAGTCATAAGGGTGATTTTCATGAGTATAAAAAGCTTTGCGGGGGGCAACTAGGTGGCGCAGTGGATAGAGAACCGGCCCTGGATTCAGGAGGACCTGAATTCAAATCCGGCCTCAGACACATAACACTTACTAGCTGTGTAAGCCTGGGCAAGTCACTTAATTCCATTGCCTAGCCAAAAAAACAAAACAAAAAACAAACAAACAAAAAGCTTTGGGATCATGGTGACTAGCACAGTTAGGCAGAAAGTAGGTGCTAAATAAATGTTTTTTGCTTGATCAATTTTAATGAATAGTTGTAAATAATTAATATTGTGGAATTTATTAATATAAAAATGTGGATTAAATAAAAGAAAAATTAGAAGAGAAAAACCAAATTAAAATGTAGATACTTTTAAGTGTCAGAATGTCTGTTTCATAGAAATGAATGAAATATAATTTTCAAATGCATTGTTATGTCATATCATGTTACCTTTTTTCTCATATTAATTGTCTATTATATACAGAAAAGACTTTCTTTAAAATAAAAAAAAATTCTGTATTTACAGTGAAGGAGAGATCTATGATGATATTGCTGATGGTATGTTTCATTTTTTTTAAATATACAACATTTGTTTATGTATATTTGTGTGTATGCACATTTGTTTATGCTAAAGCCAATTGAGTAGTGTCCATACACAGAAGGGGAGAACAATTAGCAACTTAGTCTAAATCATTAGCTTTTAATAAAAAAATCAACAATTATTTATCATCCATAATATTCTGAGCATTAAAAATGTGTTCTCAACATATAATGAAGCTTATATGCTAAAAAAATACCTATGTTGTAAACACATTTTGCCTCAGTTTTTGCTACTAACTCTTTTTTATGCTTTAATGCTCTCTACCTGTCAAACAAACTGAGAGTACATGTGAATATTTGTTTTGTAGCTTGTAAGCTATCCTGACTGCAACTTTTACATTTTTGCCTTTGAGATAGTATCTAACAATAGTGACCAGCCATACCTAGAAATTCTACATTCCTGGCTTGCCATATGAGAATTTTTTTGTATACATAAGATCATGGATTTAGAACTAGAAGAGATCTTTAGAGATCTTCTGAGCCTTCCCCTTATTTTAGAGATAAATAATCTGATCCCTGAGAGGGTTAAGTTACTTTTAAATTCATATGGCTTGTAAATAGCAGAGGCAGGATTTGAATCCAGGTCCTCTGATTCCAAAACTAACTTTTTTCTAAACTACTACACATTATGAAGAAAGTCTGTTTTTTTTCCCTGCTGTCTTTATTTATTGCCCTTGTTTGTCATTTGGTTCTTAATCCTCATTTGAATAGTAATCTATTCTTCTGCTAAAACCTTTTTTTCTTTAACTTTTACTTGAAATTAGTTTTTCCAACTATGAATTTAGGTAAAGTCTACCCTTGTTTCCACTTAAAGTTCCCAACCACTCATTCAGCCTGTGTACATATGGTTCAGAGAAGGGAAGAATCTCAGAAACATACACAAACACAAGCTTGATTCATCTGGGGCCATAGTTTTATTCTCACCTGCTTCCTTAAATAATTTGATGAACCTGAACTGAAGCTCTGCCTCTTGCCCAAATATAAACAAATTGAGTTTGGTATTCAAAGCCCTTCATAACCTTTAACACTATCTCCCCACCCCTACTCTGCTTTACCCTCTCCATACATATCTTTCTAGTCTTCTTTACCCCTTACATTCTTGAGATTACTGCTGATTGGGCTCAACAATTATCTCCACAAATTTCCTTCTATAACGTATACAGACCTAGAATTATTAAGTGGTCAGAGAAAGAAGGATCTAGAACTGTAAGAAAAGGTTATTTTTTATAAAGAAGAGACCTTATGCTACAATATCTACTTTTCTATTTTTCAAAAAAGAAACACTATAGAAATCCCCATAGAATAGAAACAGAAATAGATGTAGAAGACAAGCAATAGGATAAAAGTAAGTGTTGCCATTTGTGTTTCTTAGGTCAAACACAATTGTTTCCTATAATAAATCATATAGCATTTTGCCTGAGTTTGTTCCAAAAGATGGAAATTTTGCCCAACAAAGTTTCTATACTTCATTCATTCTACTAAGAAATTTTGCTTCTCTGTAACCTAAAACATACTTTTGCTTCTTTCCCTCCCACTATTCCTTATCTCATTGAACAATTTTAAATGACCACCTCCACTATAGTTACAATTTTCATGCATAAACTTATACACCATTTTCACATTCATTCCCCAATTAGTTATCACTTATCTCTCTAATTTTAATAATTATGTTTTTATTTTAAATGTTCTTTTATTCTTTAAGCTATATTTCTTCTGCTTACTGAACTTATGTTTATTTGGCTCCCACACAGAGAGATCTAGCCAATTTTTTAAAGTATGAATTACATCCAAGAGATGATAATATCCATTTTATGTTTTTATTTCTGTGTTATTTTACTTGTGTATACATTTTTAGTTTAACGTGGTAAATGTTAATGTCCATATTATATGCCATGTATACCATAAAGAAAATAAAAGACTAGTGTAAGTTAAATCCAGTACAAATCAAGATCCCAGCTTTTACTTAGATAAAGAACAAATTGATTTTATTTTGTGCATTCAAAATATACCTCAGATAGTGAGTTCAATACTTCCCTCTGCTAAAGCTATCCTTCATATATTCATTCAGCCACTTCTTATAGCCAACATGTCAGTGTCCATGGTAGGATACAATCATAAAAGATATTCTTCAGCCTTGGAAAACTTAAGAATACGTATGTGTCCTTCTAGGCTTCTAATAACATTTTGTTTTGTTTTGTTTTTTCAGGTTGCATCTACGATAATGACTAGTAGCTCTCTACTTTAGTAGCTGTCCCCGTTAGATCCTAATCTACATTTTCAGTTTTAGTTTTCATATTATTAAGGTGTAACAGCAGATAATGAACAAAATATACTTTACTATCACTCATTTGTTACTAAATTACTATTCTCAACATAAAGAACTGGAAATCAGGGGCCCTTTTCAGTTAAGTTTATACTGAACAAACACCCCAGAGGGGTTCATTGATGAGGCTATGTACATGCTTCTTCTACCACTCTCATGAAGGAGCTTTTTTAGGGGCTACCTGCTCAGTACTTTTAAGAATATACACAGTTCACTGATAAGAAGTTGCTGGAGTTAAGTGACAGCACCTTTGGTAAAGGAGCATAAAATGGGAAACATGTCATGAGAAGGAAACCCGCCACATTCACTTATGATCTAAATCAAGGAAACAAATATAACTTGGCATCCAAGAAGGCAATTCCTCCACCTTAAAAACTCTTCTAAAAGTTTGCTAAAATTAAATTATATTCATAGTACATTTTGTACTTTAAATTTGTAGAATGTCTTGTCTATACTTGTTAATTTGGAAGCGTATTAATTATTTGCTAGAGAGCTTAAGTTATAATTTGTGTATTTTTGTACAGTCATCTAAGATAAATGTTATGAAAGATTGTCTTTGAAACCCAGCTCTTAGCTGATTTTTGACATGCAAATATTTGATTTTGTTCATTATTTAAAGTGGTATTATCTGAGAGGTAACATGGACCTAAACTTTGTCTAAATATAACCATACGGTTATGAGTAATGGTCTGTGAACATTCCTATTTTTATTCCAAATCTGTTAGAAAGGCTTTAAAACTATATTCAACACCTGTACCGGTAAGAATTTTTCTTTGCCAGCAGGGGGAGTACACACAAACACATTGCTAGAAAGATGTCCCTTATTTAGTCATACTTCAAAGGCAAGCCAGAGCCAGAACCAAGTATTATATATCTAGCTTCAATTTTTTTCTTAAGGAAAATAAATGTGTAAGTGGACGTGAAAAATTGCAAACTTTTTTGTGGCTTCTAAAAGTAGGATCATTCCACATTTAACATTGGGGAAAAGGTCAGGATTCCTCACATCTACTCAAGGTCCTGTTGCCTGTATAAATTTGCCTGTATAAAGGGAGGATCTTTAACCTCCCTGATACTTTATTTTCTCATCTGCCAATTTAGAGTGTCGAACTATATAATTTCTAAGGTCCTTGGCTTTCAACTGTTGAATTTCTCTTAGGATTATTGATACGTGGCCAGAACTTGTTTGTCTTTTCACAATTTGGTAGCATATTGGTAATATAGAGTAGGCACTCAATTTTTTTTTGTTTTGCAGGGGGTAGGATGGGGAAATGACTTATTGATTAGTACACAATGGCTGTTGAATTTATGCCATCTTGTTTATTTTTCAAGTATATCATGTGGCTATCAAAGAATTCCAAATAGATCCATTTTCTCCTCCCATTTTTTTCCTGTCTCCCCTTTCTGGGGCAATGCTGAATAAATCTAACCCTTCTTCTCTATGAGAGCACTTTAAATACTTGAAGATAACTGTTATGTATTCCAAACCTGATTCTTTGCTATGTTAGACAATACCAGTCCTCCTAACCAAAAAATTTTTAAGGTTTTGTACAGGAAACTACCCCTCCAAAGGGCTGGTCTGGGTGCTTCCACACAGAGTGAAAATTGTATGCACACAAATTTGTAAATAATAATAATAATAATAATAATAATAATAATAATAATAATAATAATAATAATAATTCTATAAGAAAGATAATCTTAACTCAATAAAAATATAAAAATATTCTAAATATTTTTAAATTATATATTTTGTAGGCTGATAGATAAAATTTTGATGTGTGTGATGAGAGAGCTACCAACAATGTATTCTGAAAAATTCTCTAGTTTGGGAGGACTCTAATTGTTTCACAAATCATAACATATCAATAACACAGACTACTGAAGCCAAGGAAATAACTTTTTCCTTATTATAAATAAAAGTATATATTCACAGGGGTAGCACAGAAGAAATGTCTACTTACAATGGAAAGAAATATTACCTCCAATAAATTTCTCAGAAATAGCTTTGTAAAATAACTTTTGACAATCGAATAATACCAAAAGCCTATTGTTCCAGATCTGACAACAAGCCTTTGGGTTATGACCTTGCCTGGAATATAGTTTGCATTTATGCACCTTTCATTCATTCTAAGCTCCCTGTGCCCTAAAAATAGAGATTTTAAGCAACTATATTTTTGTATTCCTCTTTATGATATCTTAATCCAGGCGAATTTTTTAAAAGAATATAATGACATATTTTACCTTTGAAGGCCAGGATTTATTCAAAATCAGATAAGACCTATTTTAGAGAAAGCAAAACATGAAATGACTTATTTCAATGTAATGATTTGTCTTAGTCTGGCAAGGCATAAAACCTTGAAACTTTGATTCTCATTCTTGAACAATCACACCACTCCTGAAGCATACAATAGTATGGGATTTTTAAAAAACAGAATTTAAAAATTGAATGAAAAAAGGCATTCACTTTGTTCTGGATTTCTAGATGAATAATGATTGTTTTGTTCTAAAATCTTGGAAGAGTAATATGTACAAATGTAATTCAAAATAAAGCCTGTTTTTAACTCTAACTTGTGACTTAAATATCACTGTTCTCCCTTAGGATCCAAATCTTTTCGTGGCTGTCTATATATACAATAAAGCCTTATTGTAACAGCTTATTGCTAATGCTATGAATCAAACCATGTCATCCCCAAACATGGTAACTACAATTAGAAGTTGTCTGCAATGGCCTGATTATCCTAGAGGCCAACTGATAGCAGTGTTATTTCAAAATAGTGTCATAAAAGGATGCCACTCATTTTTCTCTCATATCTTTTTTTTTACCCTAGTATATTCTTTTAGAATTCCATATGTTGTGGATTGTCAGCTGTGAGATGGCACAAGGACAGAATACTAGGGCTGCATACAGGAAGACCCAAATTTATATCTAGCCTCAAACATTTATAGTCAATTCTGCTATAACTTGATATCTGCTCCCTAAAAATCTTTCAGCTATGCAAAATCATACAATAAATACAGTGCTTTTGGTGAAAATGAAGCTAGAGTCCCAACACCCAAAAACCTTGCCAATGAAATAAGAAAAGATAGGAGTTTAATAAAAATGATAGCACAATTTTAAGCACCTATATGTTAAATGGTTCTGCCCACAGCTCCTACTGTACCAGATTTATAATGAATATGGATTTTACCTTGAAAAAGATCTGAAATTTGCTTATGGAATTGGGCATTGGAAGGGCTACAGCTTGTGAGTTATTGTGAAGTGGTACAGTTTTCAGCAGTTTTGATGTTTCTTGTGGACAAAATTGTGCATAAGCAAACATGAAGATCTAACTGCTCAAATTATTTTCTAAAGTATCAGTAACAGTGGAACGATTTCACTGTAGCAAAACTAAACTACTAGCTGTGTGACCCTATTAATTTCTTTCTGCCTCAAATTCATTGTCTGTCAAATGAGGATAATCCAAGGTTATTGTAAGAATAAAATATGAGATGATATTTGTAAAGTGCTTTGCATCCCTTTCAGTGCTACATAAATGACAGCTATTATTGTTACTCTTGCTACTATTTGGTAACCACAAAACAGTTATGATTCAAATATTTCAGGGGAAGTGTAGTAGAAATAGCACTGGTTTTGGAATCAGAAGACTTGCACTCACATTCTGGCTCTGGCACTAGTTGGCTATGTGCCCTCTGGCAAGTCATTTAACCTCTGAATTTCAATTCCCTCATTTGTAAAATTAGGATAAAATTCACACTATTTTATAAGATTGTTGTGAGAATCAAAAAGGATTATGTAAAGCAGTCTGTAAGGTAAGAGAGCTATATAAATATTGGGGATAACCATCTCTGAATTTAGATGAAAAGGATTAGGTCACAGAAAATCAGTAGATTTGTGAATTGAGATGTTGCAATACTTTAAGGGAGCATCAATGTGTTGTCTTGGAAAGAAAGACTGAGCCAATCACTAGACTCATTGAAGGAAGGACAATGTGCTGGGAGGTATATAGAAAAGGGCCAGGAGGATCTGGATTGGATAATAAATTTAAATAGAATAGAGTTCAAAGAATGCTAGGTTGCTAGATGATTGTGGTAGAAGGAGAGTCTAGAATTGGCAGTGGGGAACAAGAAATATACTTACTTCCCAGTGACCTGTGAGTGGGTTAGGGGGAGTATGAGTGCAACTGAAAACAGTGCTAGAAAGAGTGGCCAGGGGTACTGTGTCATCAGGTGGGAACCAGGTCTCATTGAATGCCAGAAGATGGAAGGCATGCAAAAGGAAGATGTTTAACATGAAAGCAAGCTTGTTAATTATGGGGCTGGTATTAGAGAGCATAGTAGAAGGGGTGGGTAGATCCAGAGTGGAAAATAGGGGGAATAAAGGCTAAGAGGATGACAATAAGGGAATGAACATTTGGAGAAGGAGAACAGTGTTTGTACTGTTTAAAGGGCTGAGTATTCTAGCTAGGCAGAGTATACATGGTTGACCATATCAGTTGAGAGAGGCATGTGATTAAATTTCCAGTTGTGCTTGAATTTAAAAAAAAAAAAGTTTCATTTATTTTACCATTTCTGAATTTTTGTCTTATATCTAGGTCAATTTATTTGTCAGAGAATCAAATCTGATTTTTCGAAGATTGTTGAGTTCTCAACTGTTCTTTTTGTGCTCTTCTTTCAGTATTCCTATATCCATTAATGGATACTGGAAATGTCCTTCTCAGGATCATCATTTGGTTACCTGTGTTCAGGAAGGAAACACAAAGCAGAAATGGTAGCTAGGACTGTAAGATTAAGCCACCCAGGTCAGCATATGTCCTGGCAACCATGTGTGAGCAGGTCACCATTTCTGCCTGGGTATAAGAAAGTCACCATTCCCACCACCTCATGCAAAGTACAGAGAAAAGCTTAAGCATCCTGACATACTCAGAATATGGGTAGAAAAAGCCATCCAAAGGGCAGGGTCACTCCCTTTTAAGGTCTATTATATAGGTGACTCTTTCTGACTTAATGACCAATCTCTGAAGCAGCCACTTCCCCTGCTGCTAACAAGAGGACTAAGGGATTCTGTGTCCTCCCAAAGTATCAGGTCCTTCAATACCAAGGTAACACCCATGGGCTGCCTGGAAGCAATTAAAGTACTTTATGGGATGTCTACTATTAACAAAGGGGTGGTGGAAGTATCAAATGAGAGGCAGCATATCATACTGGATAGAGAATGATCTTGAAGCTAGGAAGTGGTGTTCAAATCCCAACTTTTAAACATATGTATGATCCTGGGTAAGTTACTTAACTTCTTATTGCTCTGTGCAGCTCTCTAAGACTATAACTTGCAGTGATGAAGTCCACCCATATTTGCAGGGTCTCTTTACTTTGGAGTTCCCTATACCAATGAAATTACAGATGTAGGCTCTATCACCTTTCCTTATTAACATATAATTTTTTTCAGTGACTGATTTTTAATATCAAGAAAGGCAAAAATAGGAATAAACATGCTTGCTGGAGTTATTACTGTCATGGAAGATGATAATAATAATATTAGTCAGCATTTATAACATGTTTCAAGGTTTGCAAAATGATTAAGATGTGTTAACTAATTTGATCCTCATAACAACTGTGGGAGGTGGGTGCTATTATGGTCCGCATTTTACAGATGAGAAAACTGAGGCACAGAGACATTCAGTGATTGCTCCAGGATGTTATAGATAATAACTGTCTGAAAGAGGATTCAAATTTGGTTCTTCCTAACTACAAGTCCTGTGCTTTGTCCATTGGATCACCTAGGATTCCCTGTAGATATTGAGATCTTTCAAAATTTCCTGTTTGTGAATGGCATTGTGTTCACTACATAAAGCCCTGGAACCTTGTAGTGACTACTAAATGAAATTCATAATAACTCAAAATAGTTTGACCTACCTATCCACACAGGAAAA